CCGGTAGTCGAACGTCGGACAAAGCACGTGGAGATCTGGTATCACTTCGTTCGCGAATTCTACGAAGCTGGACAAGTGGACATCTTCTACGTCGCTACAGCTGACATGCTGGCTGATGCTCTCACAAAGAACGTTCCTCTGACAATTGTCAAAAAGTTCTGTGAAGGTGTTGGTCTTCGACACTGAACGCTCTTCCGTAGGTACGGATTGAGTGGGAGTGTTGAACTTGGACTTATCCGGTCCGGACTACACGAGGCTATGCGTCTCCTAGCGCATAGCTGTAGTCGCTTATGTAGTATGTTACCATATTTGGGACTCTCTGCTCGTGTACTATAGCTATGCTTCCGGACTCTTCTGGTACTGTCTAGGACAATCCGTACTACTCCAGAACGGTCTAGACAGGTCTATGCCTTACTCATCTCTTACTCATCCTATGGTGCGATATGTCGCAATTCTTTTATCATCGTATTATTCATCGCACTATGGTACATGTGACTAACCACTCTTCAATTAGTCATGGACACTTCTCTGTAGTATATAAGGACTTCAGATTGCGTCCTCCCTCTTCAGTCTTTCCTTACTGACTGAAGAGTGAGTACTTCGTTACCTTTATCTCTAACTTGTAGTTACTTACTTAACCTTTGTAGTCTTGCTTCGACTCTAGGTACAGTTCGTTGCTGCAGTATAGTCTTTCCTTACTGACTGAAGATCTTGCTTCGACTCTAGTCGGATCTAATCTTTGTCTTCACAGCCCCGAGTTTATCACATCCACTGGACGTATGCATGGGCTGTCAACACGAGCACGGTACTTATGTATATTCTGGTCTGACGCTCACGTGCCACCCCTCGGAGGATATGAACGCTCGGCGTATCATCGTTAGGCTATTTGCATCAATAACGTTCCAGCATAGGTGAAAGAGCGGCGGTAGATTAGGGGATAGATGAGAGCGGAAGGTGAAGCTGGTGAAGTCCTTCGTATTACATGTGTGGCATAGCCGTGCGTTTCACACAAACCTGATTGCGCTCAGACCCCCCACTCACCAGCGCGAACACTGTTGAATGAACAAGAAGTCAGCCTCTTCCTGTCATGCCAGCATAGCAGAAGCACTTGAGCATCATACCGCAGCGAATTCGATGTAGGGGAGTGCAGCAGGTAACAACCCACTGACCGTCGAGGATTCATCGGGAAACCCACGTTGTGGAACACAGAGCTCATGCGTTTCCTCTTATAATTAGTCAAATGACTCACTCCAACGGCACCCACTCCAACGGCACCCAATCCAACAGCACCCACCCCACTGCGTTCAGATGCTCTGGCATCCCACAATGGAAAGAGAAAAACTCACCTTATGGGGACAGAGGGGGATCTGGCAACCAAGAGCTTGGTCACACACCCCTAGCTTGGCTCGCGCGCAGAAGTCAGTGATATCCTTCGCAAGGCCTCTTCGCTCTTTTTCTGTACCCCCAAACGTCCGAATGTTGTCCTCGAGCTCACGGCTGTAATAGATGTCAGTGCGATTCGTAGTTCCATTGCTTGTACATACTCTTCGCTACCCAACTCCTGAATCACTGAAAGTCATTGATTGTGGCCATTAGAGCTGGGCAAGCCATCCTCACCATTACAATGCCGCCAGAAGACTATAAGTACTCAGCTTTGGATAGGTTTGATCGAATATTAGCCGGCTTCTTGAATGCTCTGACGAGCGTGAACGTCGTATGCCAGCTACAGTGTGGGGATCAAGTCAACACGCTCGTGGTGAGACGTTCATTGGTGCTTATCTAAGTACCTTCTGGTGACTTGCTGTACTCTATTAGTCTACTAGTACTACGTATAATTTCAAACACCCTCTGCGATACGTCCGGAACAGCTGCTAAGCACATTACTACGATCGATCAACTTTCTCGCTCTTCGTGCTCGTCTCCTACGCTTATCAGCTCCTTGGCTCTATTCGAACGCGGGATGATTCTGCAGCGCACATCGACAGGATGCCTACGTATTGGCGGAGTTCAGTTGTTGGGCGGGAACGGGAGGCGGCTGAGGAGACTACTAACAAAAGGATCGTGTTAGTCATCTTGGGCTCAATCACAATAAATTTTCCTGTGTCGTCGAGTGGAGGGGCGATGTCGAACACGTGCAGTACCATTGCAATGGTGAGGAACAGCGACGTTTCTGCGAAGTACTGTCCAGGGCAGATGCTAAGGAAGAACAAGGCAGACAATCAGCTCTTTCTTCTCCACGTTTTCTCGCTATGACCATGCCTCACCGTCTCCCATATCTGAACACGAACCGACTGGGATCAGGAATGTCCGCTCCTGGGTTGCTTTGAAGAAATCGTTCTGGAACGAAATGATCTGGATCTGAGTACACTTTGGAATCATGCATACAAGCCCTGAGTATGTAGCAAGAGTAATTCAGCACCACTTTAGTGTTCAGTGGTCACAACCTACCAGATATACGCAATTAGAATGGTTCCCTCGGAGATGAGTTACCCGTCGTACGTCATATCTGCATAAGTTCGGTGGGGCGCGCCCAAGGGTAGGACGTTCTGCCAACGCAACGCCTCTTTCAAGATGGCGTTGATGTATGGAAGTGCTTCCCGATCATCATTGTGGTCTGGCAGACGGTTTGGACCAACCACGGCGTCTAACTCTGCCTGAGCTTAGTGTTGCGCAGGGCCGGGCCGGGCTCAAAACCCCGGGCTAGGGCCCAGCTTTGGAGGGCTCGGGCTCACTGAACACTCGAGCCGGGCCCTAGTGGCGGGCTCAGGCTGGGCCCGGGTCGGGTCAGGCTCAAGCCCAGGCTTGAGGTCTATCACGCATCAATGAGCAATCTGCATATGGAACTTACCTCCCTTTCATATAGAGGTCTTGTAATCTTGAAATACAACATAACCAGCGTGATTATAGCCACCATTCGCGAAGCGAGGAGTCAGGGGACGATAGAAAACTAGTGAGCGGGCGGCAGTTCCGAATCAGGTAGGTCTAGCGCTCACCCGACCGGCCGCTTCCATCTGCTCTAGGTCCGCCGGGAAACAACGCTGTCAAGCTTGGTGAGTTTTGCTCGATGTTTCCTAGCTTGACTCATCTTTAAGCATCCCTGAAACCTGTCCGAGGCCCTATACCGCTGGATATAGAGGCCCCTCTACAAGCCCAGGCTTGAGGGCTGGGCTCGAGCTTGCAAAATTCTAAGCCGGGCCCTCAAGCCCTGAAAGCCCGACGGAGGGCTGGGCTGGGTCGGGCTTTAGAGGGCCGGGTACCCGGGACTTCAGGGCTTGAAGCCCGGCCTGGCACAACACTACCTGAGCTCTGCGTTGCACCTCAGGATAGGGAGAAATAGTAAGGAAGAAGGATTGTAGAGTAGAAACTGTCTTCAGGCTAAAATGAGTACGGTGCTTGTACAGCCCATCAGAGTTGATCTCACCGTATCAGCTCCGGCTGAACAAAGCAAAAGACATCTTAGTATGAGAGAATACAACCTTGTACCTTCGCACGTAACTTCAAATGCGATGAGAGCAACATTCATGACCATGTCAAGTTCCTCTTCCGTCGGAGCACGACCGTTTTCACCGAGACTCCCAGTGAGGAGATTTGCAACAACGAAGTCGGAAGTGTCATCCTAATCAATGTATACGGGGGTGTTAGAACTACATTAATATAGTACACAGCAAATGCTAACTCGCTAGGTTACATGTGCTCTTCGTGAACACAGCTGGCTTCACCTCATTTGCTGCTGTACGGATCTCCCTGAACTCCCATTGGACGCTGCTCCAGGGACCCACTCAGGGATATACTGGAGCCATGAGAGGTACTCAACAAAATATCGTCCAGGAGTGAATGCTGCGGTGCCCTAGAGAGTTTTCTCCATGAGAGAGACCCACGGGTCATTGGTTTCCGCAACTGCGATTCCGTACACAACCTCGACAATGCTTGCTGCAAACGTGCTAGGCGATGCAAGGACATTCGGCGAAACGCGCAAGAGGGTGACAACAAGAGTCAACGCTCCTGCTTGTACAAGACTTCTACCACCGCTCTGGGGCTGCCAAGTATGACGATACGCTGACCTAGCGTAGTGAGCAGCACAACATCGCCTTGACAATCAGGATGAACAACAGTCATGCGGCCCAGACATCATTGCGGATAAACGCACCGTACGTCTCACAAAGCCCTCGATGAACCTTCCAGATCTCAGGCCTCCGGCAGGTGAGGTATATGGCCAACAGATGGCAGAGGCTTCGGTCCGGGTGGGAGTGGAAGACCTCCACTACGTCTGTTCCATTGCGCAGCGGACCAGACGTATCGTATGATCAGCAGAGCGACAAGTGTTAAGCCATACACTCCAAGCGAGCTGTTGTCGAGAGCTGAGGTGTGGAGCTCCATCCGGCCTCTGAGTAGGCGCAGCCCAGCAAGGGAAATTACCAAGATAGTTGAAGCCTAGAAGATTTTTATAGCACAACTTGAAAGCTGAAGATGACAGGCTGAGCACATCTAGATGCTGATTCACCATAATGGTGCGCATCACAGTGCGGACCGGCTGGTATACATAGAGCATGAGCCCCTCTTGCCGTTGACAATCTCCTCAGTTTGGCATAGCACCCGCCATACGGCTGGTTCGGAGAACCTTTTCTGACAGGTCGACCACGGACCTCCGAGGAGTTACTTCACCAACATTGACTTGATCCTGACTTGTGGCAGTATGGTGAGATGTTGCTCACAGGTAGGTTTACGTCGCTGCCAATATGGACTGACGATATCCGCAAAATGCAGAAGTTGTGGCGGCACCTACGGCAACAGTAAGCCAATGACATCGTGTTATGTACACCAGAATAACACCCACACGTGTATAGGGGGAAGAAGTTGATAGTCTCGCTCTGCAGAAACTTGTTGCTCCTCAAGACCGTACGTGGCTGTGAGCGTTCTCTTCGACCTAGCATCTGTATATGCGAAGCACGATAGCTTCCTTGAACTCATCCTACAAGGCATCGGACTGGCACGAAATGGTTGATACCACTCACTCGACGCGGCACAAAAGCCCGGTCAGGTACAAAGACCCGGGCTGTACCCCAGTAATATACAGACTCGGAATAACAGGTCCCCGTTGGCATAGAATTGTCCAACGGGCATCGAGCTCTGTGGATTACGAAATGTCGGAGAGAATGAGCTCCCTAGCCTTAGTTGATCGGAGTGTGATAGTGCAGCGGCAATCTAGAGGATACCTGTGATGTGCACCCTTGAGCTACGTTCTAACAAGCGACATATGAGGGAGTGGCACTCACGTAAGCATAGTGTCCGTCATTCTAGGCTCGATGTGGGTAGGTTGCCCGCAGTCATCAATGGGAGAAGCGATGTCGAAGGCATAGAGGACCATCGCGATATTCAGGAACAACGCAGCTTCTGCGAAGTGTCTCCCAGGACAAATTCTGCGAAAAGCAGGGTCGTCATCTCGTAAAATTGCGGCCTTTCGTGATACGGACCTTCTTCCATATCCAAATGCAAAACGTGCGGGGTCCCGAACGTCTGGATCTAGTTGGCCATCACGCATGAAACGATCTGGAATGAAACGTCCGGGTTCCGGATAGACTTCGGGGTCGTGCAGACAGGCCCTGTTTTATTGTTGATCAGCTGTCGTTTCTCTGAGTGCCCTATTATCGAACAGACCAGCTACTAGGCATGAGGATAGTTCCCTTGGGGATGAAGTATCCCGAATACTCCATGTCTTCCGTGGTCGAGTGAGGAAGACTGAAAGGCAACACGGGCTGCCATCGTAGCGCCTCCTTCACGAGAGCGTTGACGTACGGAAGCGCATCCCTATCGCCATAATCCGGAAGCCGGTTGGGTCCCACAACGAAGTCAATCTCCGCCTGAGCTTTGCGCTGCACCTCAGGGAACAGAGACATTGCGACGAAAAATGATTGTAATGTGGAGAATGTCTGGCGTGGTACAATCAGCATTGATCAAGATGAGTGCAATGGCTGCAGAAGTGTCACCGTGTCAGCTCCGCCTGGTTGAATGGGAGACATATTGCCTCAGTTTCCACATCTTAGAGCTCTTCGCCGAACGCACCTTCGAACGCAGTAAGACCGACATTCTTGATGATCTCGTACTCTTCGAAGGCCGCCTCCCTGGTCTCGTCGTCTACCCTTTCGGCAAGTTGGGCGATAACGGACCGACCTGCATCCTCAGCGTACTGCAGACCGATCAAGTTAGCGGAGCCGGACTAGTGAAGAGCCTGGGACACTCACCCGTTCCGTAGCCTCACGAAACAACATTGTCTTGACCTCTAGGGCTGCCGTACGCCAGGTTTCGAAGTCCTGTTGAAACCCCGCTCCTGGGATCCACTTGGGTACGTATTGAAGTATTGGGAAGACATCGACGAGGTACTTTCCCGGTGTGAAAGCAACGACCACGGATAGGACCTTCTCTATTAGAGCAATGTATCTGTCATCTCTATCTGCGACATCGACGCCGTAGAGGATTTTGACAACGGTGGCAGAGAACGTGCTGGGAATCGTATTGAAAGCACGTCCAATACGATCTGAGAGCTACAACTCACTGGCGTATGTGCTCGCGCAGCCGAGACGGCTCCACCAATAACTTGCGCAGAAACATGCGGGTATATTTCTTTTGAACAGAAATGTACCTCTCGATGGACGCTGGATGGAAGTGCTGCCAGAAGGCTCGCTTGTGGCGCCTCCACCAGGAACCTTAGGGCATCAAGGAAAAGTTACTATCTTGCCCAATGCTGCGAAAACTGTGGGTGTTTTAACCGAAGAGAGCGTCTTTACGAGGACGTACAGTGGTATGATCGGAGCATGACTCCTGTCAGAGGTAACGGCAGAACGTTTGTCCAGGAGCTCGAAGATGGCTGCAGGACTGCCTAGTATCACGAATGGCTGTCCCATTGCCGACATGTACACTACATCACCTGTATATCAGAATCAGTATGTAGTATTAGAAAAGACAAAGCTATTAGTCTTACCATAGGTGTTGCACAGCTCCCGATGGGCCTTCCAAAGCTCGGGCTTCTGGAAGTGTGTGATATTTCCGATGAAAGGCATGCCTTTAGGACCGGGTGGTAGTGGAAGACCGCGGCTGCGTTTCCGCCATCTCTCGCGGGCGAATACATAACTGATGACCATGGAGAAGGCGAACCCAACTAATGAGAGATTGACGGTCGATTCAAGCTGGAATGCCATGATTACGCTGGTGCACCTATAGCACATGTCAGTAGCCTGTGACGTTATATGACGATTCGCCCACGGTTCCTGAGACGGAACGGCTTACGTTGACTGTGCGTGTTACATCAGCACTTGCGAGGCGGCGGAATTCAAGGGCAACACTGGCCTTGCGAGAGGACCTATGTGGCCAATACTTCGCTGTTGGGGCAAAGAAATGACCGTTGCAAAGGATCTACCGGTGAGGAACAGGTCGGCGTGGAGGACCACAGAATGTCTGTTATATAGTGCGTCAAGTGACGTGCAACGTACACGGCTCCGCTACAATATATTTGAACCTCATATCGCCGCTAGATCAGAAGTGCGCCGGCATTATGCTAGGCCGCACTATCATTACCAGAACGCCGGCTCAGCGTGCGAGTGGTTCGGTTGCTCATGCGTAAGAACAGGTTGCATGAAGAGGAAGCGTAGCCGATAACGTCACCGCCTGCTTGATGCTTCGTAACTGCACGTCAGACCTTCGGACACGGTACTGTGCTAGGCCAGAACATCTCTGCGTGTCCGAAGCTCACAGGTCCCTGTGAGCCCGGGAGACCTGGTCTGCGTGAGAAGTCAATGGTAGCATATCCATGGAAACGTAGGTATCGCGTTGTTCATTTCTTGCCTGAATGCAGCCGTGTCCGTCTCTCCACTGGGTGATCTAGAACGCGACGAACCGTTCCAATTTCAAATTACACTGGACTCTGCGGACGGTAGTATATCCGCCTTGTCCATCTTCGCCGGCGCGTCATACCTCCACCCGACATCCATTCTTCCAATGGATGAGGATGTGTGTCAAGCCAAGAGTCATTACTGTACACCCAACCGCCTAGGAGTGCGCCATCAGCCAAAATATCGCTTTCGACGTGTAGAAGGACTCACTTTCATCAGCACCCTCCGGTGCAGCCCAAGATCCTGCCAAGTCAGGCCTCCAATCCTCAGTTTCGACGAAGGTCCACCCCGGAGACAATGAGAACGTGAGGTTGCTGCTGTGCGTACAGACATCAGCAGCTGTCCACCCAATCTCACGAGGCGCGAATATTTGGAAGGTGCTTACCTGACTTGACCACTGCCATCATCGGCAACACCACTCCAACCATCGCGTCCCCGTGTCCACGCTAGACGCTCCCCTGGCCTCAAGTTGTTCTTGCTCCACGTCCCCTCCGCCTTCGTCGGGTCACCGGAGCCGCTGCTCGCGTCACGTACCCATCGCTCGTTCTCCCATAGTTCGACCTCGCGAAGCTCCGTGCGCCAGTGCTTGTCTTCTAGCTTGTCGTCATCGATGAACCTCATTACGCGTTCGCGCAATGTATTCAGCATGGCGCCGGACCTCTGGAGGGCAGGGAAGAGTTTGTGCTGCGTAAACGGGTGTGTAACGAAGAACGGAAGGAGACCAAGGATGAGACAAGACGTCCGCATCGGTATGAGGTTGACGAGAGGCACTAGGGCTAAGAACGATACCAGCACGAACGACAGAATGAGACTGGTGTACGGTGAGGAGTACGTCCAATAGGGCGCGAATTGCATGGCAAAATCGTGGCCGTCCGAACTTGAGACACACAGAGATGAGTATGTAAGTTGGGCAAGATACTAAAGGAACACTCACACCACGCCCATCAGATTCTGGATCGCCTGAAGGTTGGCCAGGTAGTCAACACTAGTCTCTCCAGCTTGGTTCGGGGGCGATGCCTGCACGACCTTCGGCGAAGAGGAGTCTGCGCCTTCTTTGCCCTTTATGGCTGGATGCGTAGCTAGCAGAATGCCCAGGGCTATCGCATGAGGTACGAGTAGCACAAGCCTAGGGAAATAGCCTGTGACCCTTTGAGCGATACTCAAAGCCGTTGTGTGTATATACGCACAGATGAACGCGTATGCTGCCATCCACACTAGTGTGTCCTTCCAGCTCTTCTTCCACAGCACGATTTCCTCCACCCGATCCTGAAGCCAAAATATTGGACCACTCTTGGACACAAACCGCTTGAAGTTCACTGTGGTAATGGGGAGCGAGAGTGGATCCTTGTTGGAAAGGAGGCGAGGCGCGCCCTTGCCCTGTGTACGAGGTGCAGCGGGTGCGTTGGCGGGCAACTGCAACGCGGACGACAGGAGCATAGATGTCAGATTCGACGTTGCTCTAGTAGGTGACATTGGTTGCGATGTTGCAGGAGAGGCCCTGACGGGGGAGTGCTCCGGGCGAGGGAGGGAAGTGACGATCTTGGGAGCGGGGCGGATATCATGGCTCTGGGCTGAGCGTAGACGAGTAGCGGAGGAAGGAATCTCAACGTAGTCTATCGTCGTCATCGTGGTGGGTGTGTTTATGAAGCCTTTGAGTCGTCATAGACCTCGGCGCAACGAGCTGGACCGCGCTGTCCCCAGGTATCCGCTGACGGTGAGGGGGGCTACGTGTAGATGTACGATTCACAGAATTCAAGTGTCAAGCACCCAAGAGAGAGCAGTTCGATCAGCAGACAAGCTCATCGGTCAAGTCAACCTAGCCAAAGCTGACCAGGGCGTCGAGATGAGGACGAGCTCACAGGCGCCCATAGCTCGGACATACATGTGATTGGCCCTGGTTGATACGAATTACGGACAAACCCTCTGCTGTTGAACCCTACATGGTTCCGAAATCTTGGTTTTCACCTAGTTCACGATCGCAGCTATTACTTGATATGCGCTATATACCTCTATTCGAAACGGTTCATTCGACTTGTCTATCAGCCGTTCGCACGATCAAGGTTTCGGCTTGAATGGAGCGGGGTCGTATCATGCATCTGCAGTCCTCGAGGTATCTGTCAATCATTGCCATCAGCACGAGCACCATTGCTTGCGAAAGGTTCAGCTTACGCAGTCAGCGACGTAGTCAATAGTGGCCGCACTTGTATTGATTGGCCTTTGTCGTCTAGAGCTGGGCTGATGTTGAACGTATGGAGTACGGACGCAACGAAAATGAACATGGTCTCATCGGCGAAATATCGTCCTGGACAGATTCTGGGATACCATTAGCAATAGCCAGAGGAAAACTAGCGTACGCAACGCACCGACGGCCGAAACCGAATGCAACGGTCGCGGGATCTCTGATAGACAAGTTTGGTTTCCCGTCGCGCAGGAAGCGATCTGGTACAAAGTTGTCGGGCACGGGGTATTCTTCAGGGTTATTCAGGATTGCCCTAAGGACCTGTCAATGGCAGATGGCACTGATGTGACTAAATGACTATTTACCACGCGTTCACAAAAACGGTGGTCTGCTTTGGAATATGGTAACCTTCATATGTGTCGTCCGCCAATGTGGCATGAGCCACTCCCAACGGCAAAGTAGCATTCCATCGGAAGCACTCTTTCACAATGGCGTTGACGTACGGGAGCGCACTGCGGTCCCCAAAGATAGGAAGACGGGACGGCCCTACCGCTGCATCAAGTTCCGCTTGCGCTTTCTTCTGCACTTCAGGGTGCAGAGTCATAGCAACGAACAGTCGCTGCAATGTAGCATACAACTATAGGTCAGGAATCAGTATGTAGACATCGCTGCCTGTGAAGCTACAGATCGGGACGACGACATACCGTGTCTATGCCAGCTGCGTACGCCACACCAGCGGCACTCCTCGCTGTCGAATCGCTGAGTGAGGCGCCAAATTCGCCGGAGGAACCTGGCATCTGTTCCATCATGTCCCATGCGATACACCTTCGCAGCGTGTCTGTAGCCTATCACGGCATATTAGTTGACTATCCCACGAGATGCAAACTGGAAGCGTACTTTCATTTCCTGCACATAAGACCATGGTTCGTCACGGAACTGCAACACTGCCTGACGGATACTATCCAGACGGCACAGAAGTGCCGTCCCAGGAAGCCATCTGGGTACACGCGCTAGAATTGGGAAGTACTCCAGTACAAAAGAGCCAGCGATGTGGAATTCCACGCCGGATAGAGCCTTGTGTGCGAGCGCGATATTCCTGTCCTTGTCCTCTGCTACATCCAGCCCGTAGACGATGCGAAGGATGGCAGCACCAACGGAGCTAGAAGGTCTCAGAGTCGTCCAGCTAGAATGCGTGACATCGTAGGAGAACATACTAATGCAGATGCTCAGTAAGCTTCTCTGGGCTGGCGAGGAGCTTGCGGAGCAGGATGTGTGCGCCGGCCTCCTGGTCCTCACGATACTTGGATAATACATCGGGACGGAAATACTGCCAAAAGACGCGGCGGAGGTCCCTCCACCGCTTGCCGTACGGTAAGAGGGCCATATGCCAGTGCCAGCCAGTCCTGTGGGACATAATGCACTTGCGACCACATCGGAAAAGTGGGCGACATACAGCTGCGCCATTCGAAACTGCGGCCGGCTAGAGTAGATGCTGCAGCGCTTCTCAAGTAGCTCAACTGCGGCATTTGCATCGTTGATGACCAGGATCGATTGCCCTAGTACGTTCATGTAAATTAACTTCCCTGCTCAGGGTGATCAGCATCTGCAGGTATGTATGAAACCAGAACGAGCTCACGTACCGTACTTCATAGCCCAGTCCTGATATGTCAGCCAAGGCTTCGACCTAGGCAAGTCAAACACATTGCCTATAATGGGCAGACCGGGAGGTCCTGGGGGAACGGGCAGCCGTCGGGCTCGTCCGATGCCTGATATGTGTACAAGTACCACCAAACCTCCCAAGAGCAAGATGATAGAAAGATGGTTCATCGACAGCATGATGACGAACTAGACTCGGCTGAGGTAGTCTCATAGATATGCAGAGGTGGCAAACGTGATGAGTCGTGAGACGCCAACGAATTCGAAGTCTTCTGCCGTCTCGGACGGCGACGGAGGTTCCGGACGGTCAAGAGCACGTTCGCTATAAGCGTGACAGCTTCGACCGGAGACACGTCATGAAGACAGCTTGTTCCAAGCGTGGTACTCCTGTCCATGCTCATGATGCGAAACGTGGCTGGACTGTATGATGATGAGCGGAAGGTCGACAGATTGGGTGAGATGAGGAATCCGACATACTGCACTGGGATTGTGAGCTGTGAAATCCTCACTTTCCGTCATCATTCCTTGGTGTCCCATTGACGATGTCCTAGCTCGTTCCATAACTGTCCTGGATACAACACAGACTCACGTTTGGAATCACAGTCGCTCGAGCCGAGGCGGTCCCCGACCTCGGCGCCTACTCACCGGCAGATCATCGTGACTGAGACCGGCAGCTTTTTCACTTCCAACCTTTGCCTACTATGTATATCGTCCCACCTTGTTCTGCCTCCGCAATGTAGGTCTTGATATCGCTGGAGATCACGGACCTCTTACTCTTGCTTTGTCCAACGCAAGGCAGACGCGGTCGGTAGGCACTACATGGCGACGGCCTGAGCGCACTTGACGAGCCCCTGCACATCCATCTCCGTACTGTGCTGCGAACATCTCACCTGCTATTCCGAACCCTTCGCTGCACTACATGTACCGGTCAAAAGCCCAGAGGCCATACTGGACAGTAACCGTCAGAGCACAGCTTCAAACACTGTGGACGACGTCACGCGTGTCATCCCGCAGTTGAGATGACACGAAGATGATAGTTGCATGGACTACAAAACTATTCCTCCGATGCGGCATGCTTCTGGCCTTATTTGTGCCTCTGGGAAGGTGAATACACGTGTCCGTGTAGTTGTAGGCAGTAAAGGTTCGTGATACCTACCGACAGCCTCGTCACGGAACGAACCTTTGACTATTACTTGCGATCGGCACGCCCGACAGTGCTCGCAGTCAGATTTCGGAGCTAATGCTGCCCGTCTTTGAGTCCACATACACTGGTCCCCCTGGCAAGGGTGTTTGGTTCCTAACTGGTTCGTCATATAAAGGTTGGCGTGTCGCAAGGCCAAGTCCTCAGACACCTGGCTCCGCTTCCTCAGGCTTTCAAGGTGCATTCTGCAAACGCTCACCATTCATCGCTCAAAAAGTCATCATGGTCTGCAAGTCCACCTTCGTCGCCATCGCACTTGGTCTCATGGCCTCTGCGAACCCCGTCGGCCGCGAGCCTGCACGCATCCAGCGCATCCCACTCACCAAGCGTAGCGGCTTGACTAACTCTGATGGCACTTTCAATCTCATCAAGGCCGTGAATGAGATCGCCCGAGTGAAAAGGTACGCTTCAAGACTGACTACTCGACCTCACATCTTAGAGCTGATCTCCTGTACTGTCCAACAGCAAGCATAGTCACAATCTTCAGGTCATCGACAAGCATCGCGATCACGGTCATCACAGCAGCAGTGAACCCGTACAACCCAGCGCGATACCCACCCCAGCACCATCAGTTGGAACTTTGACCGCAACTGAAATTCTATCCGCGACAGACACGGGAGCTCTGACAGCCGTGGGTACCGTATCCGAGCTACTCACCGGTACTAGAACTCGCACTGGAACGGTCGTTCCGTCGTCTGCGCCTTCCAGCGCCGTCACGGGGAGCGTCCCGCTGACCGATGACGAAGGCGATCTCCTCTGGACTGGCCAGCTCACTATCGGCAACCCACCGCAGCCCTTCGTGGTCGACTTCGACACCGGCTCCGCTGACCTTTGGATCCCTTCTGTGTCATGCCACGATTGCGGTGGACAGGACCCGCCGTACGACCCGTCGAAATCATCGGAGAGCCAACCCCAGAGTGGGACGTTCCAGATCAACTACGGGGACGGCTCCAGCACGTCTGGCTCGCCGTATTCTGACACTGGTGAGCGTGCCCCTTATGCGCATGAGTTCTATCAAGATGGTGACATGTTGTTTGCAGTCTCCGTCGGCGGTATTACGGTGTCCGGACAGGTCTTCGCTGCTGTAACTCAGGAGTCCTCCGAGTTCCTGAGTGAGCCCATGGACGGTATCATGGGGATGGGTCTCCCAGCTCTCTCTAGTCTCAAAACCGTGCGTTTCCCCCTGTTCTTCCAGTCCAGAGCGTGACATTGACCTTCTCTTCACAGACGCCCTTCTTCTATACCGCAATGAAGCAGGGCTCTGTCGCTCAGAACACTTTTGCTTTCAAACTCGCGCAGTCCGGTTCAGAACTGACGCTTGGCGGAACCAACAATGCATCTTTCACAGGGGACATCGAATTCCACAAACTCTCCTCTGCCGTTGGCTACTGGATCATCGGCGACGGCTCGGTCGCTGTCGGCGGCAAAACCTCCGCCTCGCAGATCCAGACCATCATAGACTCGGGCAGCACGATCATCACTGCCCCCACGGCCGCCGCGGACGCGCTGTGGCAGAGCGTGCAGGGAGCGCAAGCATTCGAGCAAGGGATGTACACCTTCCCGTGCGACTCTGCCCCTGAGGTTGCGTTCAGCTGGGGCGGGAAGTCGTGGTCGATCAGTGCCAACGAGTACGTCCCTGTTTCTTCTGCACATCATGCGGTTGTATGGATCCTCATGCGTCCCCAACAGCATCAACCTTGGTCAGGTGGAGGAAGGCTCTAGCGACTGCGTCGGCGCAATCGCTGGAGGTGACCTCGGGTTCGGAGATGACGTCTGGCTCCTTGGTGATACGTGAGTCGTCTGAGTTATCGAGCCTCTTGCCCGGGCTGATATTCCCGACAGCTTCATGAAGAACGTCTACACCGTCTTTGATGCCGACCAGAACGGGTCCATCGGTTTTGCTCAGCTCGCCTGAAGTCCTGCAGGCCTGGCTCACACTGCTCTGTCACCCGTCTAGATTCACACATCACTACTATACTGCTGTCTCTCCTTGGCTTTCTTGCTGACTCACGTATCATATTGTTGAATTGCAATGTCGTATCGCCGTGGACTTATCGAAGGTGTACGTCTATACAGGTTGCTAGTAATCCATGAACCTCTTGTTAGCCCTGTCTGTGAATTATGCGCGATGGGAGTCGAAGCGCCTAATCAGCGCTCCGCGGACCGCGACGCGCATGCCCTGTAGGCTGTCACACTAACCAGGCGCGACCGCAACGACGAAGTTGACTTCGTTCTCTCAGCTTCATCGCTACGTTATAGACGGCTAACCTCTGCATGGCGCAGCGCTTGTCTTGTCTAAGATATCCTCCGTTTACAATCTGAGAGCCCCACTATCGACTCATCTTGCCAGCCTCTGAATGCTCATACCGCTCCCCTCTCCGGAGTCTCTCGCGCACCGCGCCCGTATCGCGGCACTCCTCGCGCCGCTTCGGCCGACGCACTTTCGGGCCCCCCTCACCCGTCTCGAGGCCCACCGCATACCAACGCTATGGACGTTATACAGAGGGATCCTCCGTGACGCTCCTGACGAGGTGGTACGTGTCTCCAGCTGTGGCGCGACCTCACACAGACGACCGAACGCGACACTGACTTGGGCTTCTGTCAAGATCAGGTCGCGCATGCGCGCGTTCTTCCGCGTCCGTAGCAATATGCGTGCACATGGAGACGTCGTTCGGGAGCTGCGGAAGGCTCACAAGGTGCGTCGGCTCCCCTGTCGTCTATTCCGGACTTGGGTGTTAAGCGGCATACGTAGTGGTGGGACATATTCCGGAAAGCTCGTGCGGGCGACCCGCACTTCACCGCCGTATGCGCCCGGTACAGCAGGATGCTGGACGGGGCACGGTTGCAGCGTCGAGCAGACCTGGTCTACCAAGAGGAGCTGGTACGTATCTCCGTTCATTCGCGAGGCTCGGTGTCATCTCAACCTATCCTCTAGGACTGGTACGAGAGGATGCGCACGCGTCCGATCATGACCGGGGCCTACCTCCGACCGACCCTCTTCAACAAACCTCTTCCGCGGCTCGTCCCCCAGCCGCTGCACATCACGGGCATGCTCACGGCGAGACGCAAAGCGCGCCAACGTCGTATTGATTTGTTTGAGACCGCCCAAGAGCACGCGAAGCTGCTGTATGCGGAGATCAAGTTCGAAGAGGCTCTTGTCGGTACGGGGGCCAAGGGCAAGGGCAAGAAGCCGATCGAGCGCGTCTTCACGGAGGACGTTGCCGGATGGCGTGCGTCTTTCTCTCTGCTCTGCGCGCGCATGTATACTAAGGCATGCAGGGCGTGTTAACAGGTCAGCCGATTGACGACCTCATGAAGAGCATATCCGACAGCTTCGAGCTCGAGCGCCAGCGTCAGCTGTCGCCTTATCCCCCCGAGATGCTCGCCGCCATCAAAGAGGCGCGGCGGGAGAAAGTCCGGAATAAAACGCGCGAACGCGAGCGGTGGCGACGCGGGGAGGTCACGAACCGCCTTCGCAAGCTGATGAACAAGGGCCCTCCCCCGCACGTCCTCGCGCGGATGACTGACGAGCAGAGGCGCATGGACAGGCTAGCGCGATGCCCAAGCGAGGTCGGGTATGTCGCGGAGGTAAAGCGGAAGCTTGGACATAGGTTGAGAGACGACGAGACGTGGCGAGTCGAGCTAGGGAAGCCGGAGAACCAGAAGACATTGGACAGGATGGCGGAGGAGATAGAGGCGGAAAGCGCGAGGCGGCGTGCCGGTGTGGGCGAGGATGTGGCAAGCTAGTGCGTGTGCATATATATGCCTTGCATGGAATTGAACGGTGTGATTGAGTCGGTGTGATGAGGTTGTATGCTGCACGCTCGGCACCCTTCTTCACGCACGTTGTACTCGCGGAGTCGCTCTGATGAGGACCTCTTGTGTGGTCTGGCCTGGCTCGAAGCTTGCGGAGACCGGAGCTAGACTTCGAGAATGCGGGGAAGCGGGGGCTGGTGCCAAAAACGGTGGAGCAGGAGCCATATCTGGACTCCATTGGCGTCCGGTAAAGCCCAGCGCATTCAAGGAGACAACACCGCTCCTTTGACATCACCATGACGCACGCGTATCCGCAACCGCTACTATAGAAGCTCCTTCGTCCCTAGAGCGAGCAGGCCATCGTTAATCTGTCTTTGACACCACCTCGCTCACGACCACTTCCCCACTCTTGCCGCTTGTTCCTCTACGAATCAGCATCATGTCGAGCACCCGCCGCCACGACCTCGCCGACAACGCGAACAAGACGGACGAGTCGCAGACCTTCAAGAAGCCGTTCCAGACCGTCGGCCGCCCGCCCGTAACTGAGCGCGACATCCACGAGCAGTATATGCAGGACCCTCCACAAGTGAGCAGTCCCTCCACGTTTGCTAAAACTGGGTGTCGTTCTGACCTGTGTTCCTGTGACAGAACGTGCCATACGAGCCTACCACCGACCGTTCGACGATCGGCACGAAGGAGGGCGCTCGGGAACAGGCCGACCCTCAGCAGCAGGGCGTCCTGGGTCATCCCGGCGTCGGGAAGGCCTTGAAGCAGGACGTATTGGAGGAGATGACGACAGAGGGCTCGGTGCATCCGCATAACCCTGTGTCGTGAATGCCCTGCTGCTAGTAGCATGGACTCTATGCGTGAGCAGAGCGCATGTATTGCCGCTTGTACTTCTTAGTTGTCTTACAATTGCACCATGACAAATCTTGCCAGTCTGTCGACGGCGAATCCTTGACTGCCCGCAGGCTATCCTAGGAACACACTTGCAAATGTTGCACGGTTGTGCAAACAGCAATCGCCATCCCGTGCCTGGTCTGTTCACTCTGGTTTGGCAGACACAATGAAACCATGCATCCCATGTTACGTGCCAAGTTTCATGGAATCATTTCTGTCGCATCCGCTGTTCTTACTTCATCCCACCTACTCCTGGCCAAATCTCTCTCTCAACTCCAGGCCGATAAGGTTAGCCTTTGATTTCCGAACAATTATTGCAGGGGTAACGAATCCATTTCATGCGCCCGAATTTTTTAAAGCGAATGGGAGGGTGGATGTAGCGGAAGGTCAGCGTAGGGTGCCGCATCTATTTGCAAGTGGACTGCTAGACGCCAAGACCGGATGTGCTCCACTCGCTCTTACATCTCTCGCAAGATGGAACAATCCAGACAGGGCTGTGGGGAACAGATTGGTACACCTCTGTATGGCTATCAGGCCCCTATGTGAGCGAGGGAGAGCGGGGCAGATAAAACAGTGAAAATGCTTTGCAACCCATATTCGTGGGTAGTATAGCCTCCTTGCATTGTCTCAGGCAGCCGGGGATGCCTTCAGGCACAGAGCATGCGTAGATGGCCTTGCGCAAGCTTCGATTCGGTCTATGCACGCTATACTCGGGCAGGATGGAAAACGATGGTATCGGGCGTGCGCTGCGGAAGTTGCGCGGGACCACCGAGTCCGCTCTATCGCGCGACCGGTGGGCCGAGCTCAAGCCAGCGTAAGACGTAGCCAAGAAAAACTAGAAGGTAGCGGAAGGGCGAGCGCAAGAATAAAAGCTCGAGTGCGAGCTCCCAAAGAGCGAGAGGACGAGGGTCCTGCGAGCCCGTAGCCTATATACTATTACATAGCTAGGCGCAAAGCGGCGAGGGGGTTAGCACGAGTTACACTATCATAGACCCTAGATCATAAACATTTCCTAATAAGGGCCAGTTCGGATACCGGGTTCGGAGCCAGAATCCAGGTTCCGCCGGATTCCCCAGAATGTCAGTTTCACAGCATGGCCGGCCACGACTATGTAGCCGTAGCCAGCTACAGCCTGTCGGGAACGTAGGTTTCACAGTGTGGCCGGCCACGACTACGGCCATAGTCGTAGTCGTGGCCGGCTATGATGGCGGCTAGCGGGCTACGCGAGGCTACAGCCTACAGCGAAATCTGAGAGAAAACAGGAAGTGCAGGCGCCGGCTACAGCGCACCCGGCCCGTAGGAGAGTGTAACCAGAACACGCCTCCCAACATGTAGACTGACGCCCAAAATGTCGTGGATATTCACAGAATCACTTATGTGATTCGTTGTATTACTCATGGTATATTCATGGAGCAAAGGGACTCCGAAGTTGACTGTATGCTAAGGACCGGGAGGAGTCGGCTTTCCCAGGCCGGGGGACGCCGGCTACGACCGAGGAAAATGAGATTCTCGACGGGAGCGCTGCGAATCGGTAGACAGGCTGTAGCTGGCTACGGCTACATAGTCGTGGCCGGCCATGCTGTGAAACTGACATTCTGGCATGGCTGGGCTGAACCTGTTATTTGACTTGGTGGAAAGGTACCAAGGGTGTTAACTGTGCATATTCCTCAATTTATGACTTCACAGCGACGACATCAACATCATAGAGCTCTCATACGCCCCCAATAACCCACTTCTAAAGCTGACGAGAGATAGAGGACTCAAGCGCCGTGACTACCCGATATAGTAGGGTGACAGGAAACGCCCGTACTGGCGGCATGGAAGATGCAGTGCAGAATCCGGCGGAACCTGGATTCTGGCTCAAAACCTGGTATCCGAGCTGGCCCTAAACAAAATAGTTGTGAATATCATGGTGTTATGCATTAAGGGGGAATCGAACCCCCGGCGGGTCGATGGCAACGACCCAGGTTACCACTACCCCATTAATGCTATGACCTTTTAGTGCCTACACATGATTATGACTATGCAGCTTGACAGGGTACTAGGTGGTATCCTATCACAGCCCAAACATTATGATGGTCCGTGCACACATGTCGTCGGGTATATAAGGCCTCCCCCGACACCAGGGATTCTTTACCACTCTGGCCTTTTGGCTTAGATCAAGTGTAGTATCTGTTCTTAATAGTTTAACCACTATTATGGAGGCACCGCCTTCATTTTTGGTTATCTAATTTTTGCCGCCCTTGCCTTCCGAGCTCTGCTTGCAACTCGGGAGCGCGATGACCTTGCTACTGCACTTACTGGCTTGTGTCGTCGGGGGATCTTGCTTTGTCTTTTTGAGACACCTTTGGGACTGGTCAGTCGATCGGGAGCTTGGTGATTCAAATGGATGAAGTCGGGTTTTGTTGATATTGCTGTTGGATGGGATGCCTTGGGTATCCTGAGGCGTTGAAGACTCATCTCATGTTGCGTGCTTCACTGGATCTCGCCGTTGGTGTTACGTTTTTCCTTAATCGTATTGGAGTACGGGTACACGAGGTAGAATACAGGGCAAATGGACGCGTTGTAACTACATGAGCGCCTATTGATGGACACTGGAGTGCAGTCCCCGGTCTTGCGTGTTGAGCGACGCGGTTCCTCCTACCACCATGTCGACAACGCAGTCCAGCTCCGAAGCTACTTCCTCCTCCTCTGAGACTCCGTCACAAGCAAAACGCATAGTGTACCAAGTAGAGACTACCGGAAGCCGATGGGGCGACTTCAGGGAGGCCTTCAAGGTACGTACGGTCTCCCGCCGACATGGACCACCGGAGCCGCGACTGACGGCCATCGCGCTCGTCCTCGTCTCCGCCTAAGGAAGAGGCTGTCCCCTCGCGATGACCTGAACAGGATCAACGAGATCCCGTGCGCGCGAAACAGCCTGCTGAGCGGGATCGCGAGCGGGGTGGGCATCGGGGTCATCCGCGGCATGTCGAGCAGTGCGTGTTCCCGGTCCCTTGCTTGCGGTTGCGCATGACATGCCTTTGCTTTGCTCACTCGGACGGCGCGGCATCCTGCTGCTTTTGTTTCTGGGGGGAACGCAGGCGTGTTCGTCGCGTCGAATTGGGCCGTCGGCACGTTCATGCTCATCTCCCTCGGTACATGGTACGTCCTCTAGCCCTATTCCAGACACCCTTCCCCCCCTTCCCTTCGTCCCCTCCTTCCCTCCTTAATTGCGTCGACGCGTGTCAAACCGTGTTCTGACGGGAGCTCAACCCGGAACAGGACAATCTGTCAGCGAAACCGGGAGGAAGAGCGGCGACGGTTGCAGCAGGTCGTCGAGGCCATCCCGAAGCGCTTCGTGAAGACCGAAGAAGGCCCCGGGTCGGGCGAACCGAAGACGGCTTGAGGTCACGCTCTCGACTTTTGCACGCTCTACATGTCCGCAGAGGAACCTGCATATTCGACGAACATCTGGTAGGGTCCACTGCTCTCGACGCTTGGGGCTCACGGACCCCGGTCACGAGTAACTGCGGTAGTCCTGTCTCCGGTGTTTTCCCCCTCACTATCGATGGCGACGAGCGAGTGTGCCAAAGGCGACGGACGTGTTTATGTCGCATTAGATTATAGCGCTGTAGATAATAGCACGGAAGCCACATGATATACACATTATCTTCAACCCATTTAGTACGCCCGTCAGAATACATATATACAGCCTTCCTTGCCATCGCACGCGAGCTAGTTCAACGCAAGTAACCCAATAGAGAGGGTCCAATGGGTGCGGCACATATGCGCTAGAAGTATTCGGGGTGGCCCCAGACCTCTTTGCTCCAGTTTTCGACGAGCTCGGGGTCTTCGCGGTACTTTGCCTGGAAATCCTGGAAGCCGCCGCGGAGGACGAGGACTTGATGGGGGATGTCCTCGCCGTCGCCCTCGAGCTGGTCGCGCGCCTGTGCGTATATCTGGAGAGACGGAGAGGTCAGGTTTTCGGATAGGGGAGGGAAGAACAGCGTGGGACAGGAGGACGTACTCGGGCAGCCTGCGGACCGCTGCAAGGCATACGCAGCAAAACGCGGGTCAGCTATACGAAAAACCTTTCATAGACGGGACACAGACTCACCGAACTTGGGAGAGCGCGCAGTGGAACACAACTGTAGGGACGTTCTTCGTGCGTTCGACGAGGTCGTGCACGTGGACGTAGAACTGGCTGGAGGGGGAGTTGTGCGAGCCCTTGATGTTTCCGCCCGCCCAGTCGTCGTCGCGCACGTCGATTACGCAGTAGTCCTTCATGGGGACCTTTTCGCTTTTGATGATGGCTGCGAGCTCCTGCGGGGTACGCGGGCGCGTGAGGAACAGGGCGACCGGAGACGTTTACAGGCACTCACGTCGGCAGAGATGTACTTGAGCATCGCGGCGGATCGCAGAAACGAAAACGGGCGGACGTGACGAGGCGGCGGGGGAGGGGGACGCGATGGACGGGACCTAGAACGAGATATATGGAGGCCGAAAAAAGCCGGGGGATGAAAACTGAGCGTGGCAGAGGGCCGACGGCGACGAGAGAAGCTGCGGGAGACTTCACGAAACCCTAGGGCTGCGCTCATGCCTTATCGGGCAGGCGATGCTGTGTAGCAACGGCGACATATGTGGCCTCGGGAGCAGATGCCCAGGAGACTAGAATCCCAGCGAACCTCTCGATGCAGGAGCGGCGATATCGATGTGAGACGCGTCTTGGAGTGCTGAGGACGCGTCTTGGAGTGCTGTGGACGCGTCCTGACGCGGACGACCCAGGTTCCGAGGTTCCGAGCTGGGGAGACTCGAAGGGCACGGAGCGCTCGGGACTCGGAAGCGCACGAATTACTACTGACCGAGACTGCACTTGATATTACGGCGCGTCTGACAAGTCGAAGGCGCGAGACAGAGGCGAGGCGAGCGTTGGTAGTATGGGCGAGCAGAACAAAGGCGGATCGGTGACTCTCTGTGCTGTTGCGGTAGAGGGCTGCTGTTCCGAAGGGCGAACGTGTGCGTTCGCGCGTGGACGGCTCCCGGGAGTTTCCGGCGCCTTAAAGCGACCTGTTCCCCCACTTTTCGTGCCAACGTCACTACTCCTCACGCCATGTCTCTCCCGCAGCCCGTGCCCCCCTCCTGGAAGGTCAGTATATGCCGTCTCTCACAACGACCAGGCCTCGTATTCATGCTTCTGCGCGCGTCCAGGACCTTGGAAAGTCGTCCAACGACCTCCTTGGCAAGGACTTCCCCATCAATGGTGTAGCCCTTGATGTCAAGACTGCGACGCCCTCCAACGTGTCCTTCAAGGTTGGCGGCAGCCGCGACACCAAGTCGACTCTCATCGGCGGCGACATCGAGGCCAAGTTCTTCAACAAGCCCCATGGTCTCACCTTCACTCAGACCTGGACCACCAGCAACGTCCTCAAGACTCAGGTCGAGATCGACAACCAGATCGCCAAGGGTGTCAAGCTCGACCTCCAGACTGCCCTCACCCCCGACACCGGTGCCAAGAGCGCGCTCTTCACCACCACCTACAAGCAGCCCGGCCTCCACACCCGCGCGTTCCTCGACATCTTCAAGGTATGTGCCGAGCGCGCGTGATGACGTGACATTGCGCGCTCACCTGACTCGCGTCGCAACCTCTCCCCGTCGCGTCATCCGTTCTCGCTCCCATGCGTATGCTGGACCTATCAGGGCCCGACCTTCACCGCAGACACCGTCGTCGGCCGTGATGGCTTCCTTGTCGGTGCCGAGGCGTCGTACAACGTGACCGAGGGCAAGATCACCAAGTACGCGACTGCGATCGGCTACAGCGCCCCCGAGTACGCCGTCACCCTCCACGGCCTCGGCAACCTCACCACTTTCGCCGCGAGCTACTACCACCGCGTCAACCCCGACGTAGAGGCGGGCGCGAAGGCTGTCTACGACACGCGTGCCACCGGCAGTAACGTCGCTCTCGAGGTCGGCACCAAGGTCTACCTTGATGCCGCTGCGTTCGTCAAGGCGAAGATCAACAACTCTGGTATCCTTGCTCTCGGTGCGTTTTCCCCCTTCGTATTTATGAGCGCTAGCAATCAACGCGTTATCTCGTCAGGCTACACCCAGGCTCTCCGTCCCGGCGTCCGTGCCTCCTTCGGTCTTGCGCTAGACACCCAGCGGTTGAACGATGCCACTTCGCAAGTCGCCGCCCACAAGGTTGGCGCGAGCTTCACCTTTGAGGGTTAAAACGTTCATGATGTTCGAGGGGAGTGGCACTATTTGGATGTATTCATAGCTATACGTTCAATCCATAATGCGCTATGTAGTACACTCAATCTACTGTCCACGACAGCTGTCCTTCCGGAAGGGGTCTGCTGGTGCGGCAGTGAAGGTCGGCGCGCACGCCGAGTTCGACGAGGACGACGTGCATTATGCGGAAAGCGTGGACGAACGGACGCGCTTGTTCAGGCTGAATATCCGTACGCAGCTGTTGAGCGACTGCCGCTTTGAGCATCTTGGTTCATTCCTAGCTTCTGGCTCTACAAATGGCACCCGTTGCAGCTCTAGTATCGATACCCCTGGAACCCCGCCCTCGACGCGCTGTCCCCTCTTCAGGACCTCTCACGACTTCAAGCGATTTCGGGCTCCTACATGGTGATCCTGGGGTGAGGATAAACGGGGCGATGGGCAGACATCATGGAAGGAAGGCGGAGGGCAGAGGCTGTGTGACTGCCGATAAGATATCATATCCTCCGACGGCGAAGGTCGGGGGTGTTTGCCTAGCAAGGGTCAAGTGGTTGGCAGAGTCGAGCGTTTCCATGTGATTGTCTGTCCCAACTTGACGAATGCTCTGGACCACGCGCCCGTTCGATGCATATGTCCCCCTCCGAACTGAAAACTCAGGCTGCCATGAGCCTCGGGAAACTCGGATTAATTTTGTGAGATAGATTATTGAGATATCGAAATTTATCCTTGTTCCTTTCATCGAAAGGTATTGAGAGCGCTGCGGATGCCCGGAACTTGAGTAACATTGAAATGTGCCGCCGATGACAGAACCCACCAAGTACCTGCGCATCTCGTGTGCAATGGTCAGTGCAAGCTCTCCCTTGGAGATACTGGCGGCCTCCCTGTCAGAACGAAGGGCCATAATCTGGCGCTGGTAAGGTTGGAGACCGATTATCTGATCAGGTCGGGTGAGTCCCAAAATCCAGACCTCTACTGTAATTCCCGTGACTGACCTGCATCCTAAGCGTTACTTTGGATGTGACTCCCGATGTCGGGCTAAAAGCGGGACGATATTGATCTATCAAGTCCGTTGGCCCGCGTTCCAAGACTGATGCCAGATTGACACCGAGACCCAGTACGGTCTCGAACACGATACAAGAGCGCTCAAACGGCGCTGACGGCCCTTCATAGCGTATTTGCGGCAATATCTACACTGTCTGATCAGTTCCTACAGTTACTCAAGCCCAAGAAAGGTTACCTCGTGATCAAGCTTACTAGGTCTCTCGGCAGGAGGCGCATCAAGATCGATACACAGTTGCGGCGAAACCGCTCGGACTGCTGGCGCGAGTTCCTCTCCCTTCCCTTTGTGTCTCGTATTGGAGGATCGGTCAAGAACAACTGTGCCAACTTCGGAAGAATCAGACATTCATTCCACTTTCTGACACAAGCATAGACCAACCACCCGAACCGTCAACTTCAATCTCAGGTGCTGCATGTAGGATCCCTTCGTAAACCTCCCCAGAGAGATCCTATCCCCCAACCCCTCAGCGACAAGCAACTGATCTACTATTTATAATGCGCACCGTCAAGAGGGCGATCACATCTTGGTCAGAGGCCACCGCCATCTGAGCATTGGAATGCTATAGCAGTAAGCGTGATCAGATAGCATACAACAATGATGACAGAAAGCTGACACGCATCTAGGATGTATTTGAGCAAGTGGTCCACAGGGTCGACGAGCTGATATCGCCATGAGCATTCTAGATTGAGAGAGAAAAGACCGGAATCGTACCATCTCTGCATCTGGAAGGGTGTCGAGGACGAAATCGGGGCTCGGGGAACGAGATGCGACGGAGGCGGAGACTGAGGCTCCTGGATCGCTTGATCCAGACCCCAGATCATGCGGTCCCGCAGCAGCCCGCATCGCAAACTTCGGGAGCGGACGCCTGCGCCTCATCTTGTAATAGTGTATAAAAAGGCATTGGTTTCGCTTGAGTGAGGTCAAACCTTGTTGAACCTCCTGAGAAAGCATCGAGATCGTGACCGGAACTGATACTTCCTGAGCAGGGTGTGGACCATATCGGTAGTGACTCCTGGGCATGGATGCATTAGCAAGGCTGACAGATAAACTGGCCGTTGCGTAAGGGGTGAACTGTGCAATTATGCGTCCTTCCTTGCGCTCCGACCCATTCCCTTGAAAGGCAGCGACTCCCCAATGCGTCGTTTTCATCGTCCCGCTGACAAACACAATATCTTGCTCCTCAAGGCCAAGGCCCATGCCTTCTTGTCCGTTAACAAAGTCAAGCCAGCTGTCGAAGTGTCTGCGCATGTAGTTGACGATGTGCCGCTTCGATTCAATGTCTGCGCTCTCCGCAGGCGGTTCAAGCAGGACCAAGGCTCCGCAATCGGCTGTGGTCTGGAAAGCAAAGCTACCGCTAGCTGCTATATCTCCACTAGGTGATTGATGTCACTTGATACCCTCTGAATAGACCACAAATGCTGGTGACTGACCTGCCAGCAGAAAGCTCAGCTTCGACCTCTCGAGTCTGTACAGTGCGGCTGCACAGGGACCTTTGCATTATAGCGTTGGGATTCGTGAAGACCGTGCGTGAACCGGGAGAGTCGAAGACCGTGAAACCACGTGGGACGCCGTTTTGCTGGTTCACAGGGTCTTCTCGAGACGACTTGACATTGAACAGAGGAGTGAACTGGCCGTTTGTCCGAAACCATCCTACATCCCCAATGAGTATCTCCCGACCACCAACGGGTTCAGGGTACCAGAGAGGATGGCCGTAGCCGAGTGGGAAAAGCTGCTCAGCATAGATGTTCCACGGACAGGAGGTCATGAGGAGACGACAGGGGGTTAGCAATAGTGGCGGGGGAGGGCTTCACGCAGTCGTATAAGGCAAGCTATTTGCACAGCATAGATAGAAGTTCGCCCTGATCCTTGGGAACCAAATAGCACCGAACCGCCACGCCGTAATGTAAAGCATCAGACCCTCGACCCTTCTGCCAACACTGCCATCCCACCAATCGACCAAAGTTCGACTAGCAATATAGGACGCGTATTGTCATTGCTGTCGCATAGATATTAATATCATTGTGGTGTCTTGTAGAGTAATCTGCGTCATGACATGCTCACCCGGACACCGCAACAACACCCGTTCTCCTTTCTTCACGTCGCGTGCTTAGCTCCTGGGTGCATGAACGCGGGAGATCTATAATTAACGTGGGCTATGTCCATGCAAAAGCGTTGAATCGGCGCTCCAGTTCAATACGGTTTCCCATCACCATAGTTGACCCGTAGTACTTGGGTTGAAACCTCAGAGCACGGGCAGTGTCGCTCAGATGCACGAGGATTGCAGTCAGGAAGGCAGTGATGACAAGCAAAGGCGATGACACGAGTATAACGTCTGGAATACAAAAGGTATAGTGGTATTAGTTGGCGTGGTGAGGGAGCAACAAGTAGCTAATGGGCGACCGTCCCCCGTCGTCGCCGTTCGCATGGAGTACGCTGGATGGCGCCCTCGACGGTAGCGCTGCACCCGTAGACTGGGAGGCTCGCGTTGCCGTCCTGAGCGAAGAGACAGAGGCCCACGTTCTTCGACCGTTTTGTGAAGCTCCCTTCCAGCCTCAGAGCAGGGCGGTCTCAAGTCAGACGTTGTTCCATAGGCGTGCGGCTCAGCCGAAGAGGACGGGGTTCGCCGGAACGGCAGCGGCGAAGTGTATGCTGACTGTGACGTGCAGTGCAGTGCATGGAGTCGAATGTCCCCGCAAGCACCGCATCCTCGGAGCAGTAAATCTGTGGATGTGGGTGGATCCTCATGTCAAAGACTCAAGTCCACAGAATGGGGCAGTCTGCTCACCTCGCTGGTACGTTTGTCGCCGTGTGTGGAACGTTGTCCCCAAGGCTACGTATACCTGCTGGTGGGATTCAACGGCGGGGACTCGTTAGCACAGTGGTGTCAAGAACTGGCATAATTGTCCAGACAGTGTGTTGACGATGGCGTGCTAATCAAGACATCGTTTATTGGCTGGACACAGTCGGCCGCGGCGGGCTCGTAGTATGCGCTCAGAAGCAAGAGGCCATGGCAGTAACTAGTGGGAGCGATCACAGGCGTGGGACGCACGTACGGCACATCGCACCCGAACTGGCGTCTCTGTGCTTGAATGGCACCCCGAACGACTTCGCACGCATTCCTCCTCGTACCGTCTAGTTCGAAGGGCCGTTCTCCATCGTAGCATACAGGGTATCAGGTAGTCATCCTATGGCTGTGAGCTGAACCGCGATCATTTTGCTCCCTCGAAGGCAGGGACGATCAAGGAGGTAAGATCCATCATTCCTTTGACTACCACTCACGCCCAGACTTGTCCTGACGCTGCCCTTGTCGCCATTGCAGTGCCCCTATGTGCTTATCCTCGGACTTTGAGGTCTGATTTTCATATTGCCCCTCGTGCAGCACAACTGATGAGATTTTGAGCAGAACGCAAGCGTTGCCGTCAGGACTGAGCTCCGTCCATACGACCCTCGCGAAGGCGACGGACATACCTCAACATTTGTCTTCTAGCCTGCCTCTGCATAACATCTGATCAGCAACCGGCGAGAGCGCTGCGGGCCGTTGGTCACGGTCTTCCCCAAACGCGCAGCTTTACGGCACTTGCTCGTTTCTCTGCGCCCATAAGCCCCGTTATGTCCCTCAGAACTTCAACTTACGTAGCGCGTGTTGTCAGCATTCTAACCTTACCTAACCAGCTCATTCTCCGTGACCCTAGTACATGGAAGGAAAATTCTACACGGAACGAACTGGATTGGCTTTCGGCCACAGATCAGTAGAGGAACTGTGGCCGACGATACCGTACGGACGTGGGCGAGGTTGGGCGGTGACGACGCCATCTATCCCCGGGGCCCCCGCCGTTTCCCTTCATACCATTAGGACCGGAGACAGACTTGAGGCCCGCGCACTCTCGTGCGGACTTCCGGAAAAGCTACGATCACGTACCTGTCGTACGTACGCTGCTTAGCGCCCCTGCGACTAGTTCGCTAATGGCGTGTACGCAGGAGCAGCAATGAGCAACCATCATTCCGTATAGTCTCGTGACCAGACGTTCGGAGCTTGAATCGGATGCGAAAAACCGGGGGCATCCGAGCTCCTGAACGTCTGGTGGCTTTACCCCCGTGACTCCCCGCTCGGTGACCTGTGTCACATATCGATCCCATTTGAGGCAGTCCGAACAAGTCAGAGGGCGACTCCAGTGTGCGATGTGGCGGCCTGCTGTTGTAGTTACACCTTGCGAAACCTCCTGTACTGGACACAATGATCTCCTGGATTATCATGTCTGGCTTGCTCTAATATACTCTACATGGCTATCGTTACTCTCTGACTACTGTCCCACGAAGAAGAACACGCCCGCTCATATGCCGTCCTGGAAGCCGCCCGAGACGCCGCCAAAGCCTCGCGTGGATACAACTTGGAGGCCACACAGCAAAGGCTTGAAGAGACCTTCTGACAGCGCATGGGAGGGAAGGTGCCACACCAGTGGCAGGCGGATGTCTCAGAGGCACTGTTGGTGGGATTAGACTGGGTGCGCGAGGATCTATAAGCGCCCATGGAGCGGACTACTGTGTAGTGCCTATATGAGAGATAGACAGATTGAGTATGGAGGATGTGTAGCAAAGGCTTGTAGATGTCATAGAGACGTACCAGTGAGAGGAGTGTCGACAAAGAGCGGAGTAGGCTCAGCGCGACTCGAAGATAGCGGGGAGATAAGCAGGCAGACGCGCACGAAGGACAAGAGGCAGGGAGGTCACACCGGTCACCGAGCGGGGAGTCACGGGGGTAAAGCCACCAGACGTTCAGGAGCTCGGATGCCCCCGGTTTTTCGCATCCGATTCAAGCTCCGAACGTCTGGTCACGAGACTACATTCCGTACCTAGGAGACGTTGCGGAATGAAGGGTACTGTACTAACCTCTCCGCTCGACGAAATCCCCTGCATGTCAATCCTTTCGATGATGGCCGAGCTATGCGTGGCCCGTACCTTGTGCTCACTTGCGTTCCCGTCCCTGGCACCTGCCGGCTGGGGCGGGAGGCCAGCGTCCGTGCGTGAGACGGCCGGCTCCGATTCGTACGCCGCATGTCGAGCGTGCCTCCCGCGGCACTCTCGATCTTGAGCTCTTGGTTGGGTCGGGGTCATGGGGCCTGTTCAACATTACAAGGTTTAGCCTTCAAATAGAATTTAGTTCGCTCAAAAGGCCGAGTAGAGTACGTGACGACTGGTCCCGCAACCTTGACTGTTCTCGCAAAGTCACTTGGTGAGCGATCGTAATGCTCGCGAGGTTCTCGGGAATGTAAGTCAGCATTGCATGGTGCGTGCGTCTCGCAGCGAGCGTCATCAGAAACGTCAATGCCAATCATGTACTTTTCGCCAGACGTTCAGCGGTCGGTTGCCAGGAAAATGTAAAGATGCTCTTGGCCCAACTGGGAGAGCTTCCTGGCAATTCGCAGGCACACATAGGCCATCGCCGTTGACGTCGAGGGAGACCGATCCCCTTGTTGCTTGGGTTTGACACTTTAGCCGTGCCCGCCGGGGCGCCGTTGCACGGGGTTGATAGAGTTGAGTCACATTTGAGTAATCCAGCTGCATGTTGCAAATCAGCGAGCAAGCGCTCTCGTGTTCGTGAAGTAAACTGCAGAACATACTGCAGCATTATCTTCACGAATGGATCCCTCTGATTGGGACTAGTGTAGAGAGAGCTGCGGGAGTGCGTGGAATGCTTTGAGCACAGGAAATACGAGGATTCGCCGAGGGGGAGATTGAAAATTGGGCGGTCTAGACCCGGTGCACAAGCTGCAGGAAAAAGCCCGATAAGATCTAGGGTACAAATGACGTTTCTGGCAGGAAGTCGAGAGGGCATGGGAAGACTAAGGTGCAGACAGCCGTCGCTGGTGGACGGTGGGCGACGACGCGGCGAGCGTCGAGCAGTTGACTACTTGTACGCGAGCGCAGATGGGCGCAGATGGGGCGAAGCGGCATGCGAGGACGGCGGACGGCATAGGAAGGGTGTGAGAACGACCTGCCTGATTGGATGGACATTTAGGTTGGCGGGGACGAACGACCAGCTCATCGATCCCACCTGCATCCTCCTGCACCCCACAGCCCAACCAGAAGCCAGGATGGAGCTGCAGCTGGACGGCCCAGAATTTGTCCCGCGCCTGCAGACTAAAAGACAACTGTCTTCCGCACACTCATCTCTTCCGGCCCCGAGCCCTTACATTTTCAAGCTCAAGGAACCCGGCGTTCGCCCCACAGCTCTTTCCGCCGGCATTTCAGCTAGCACACGCCCCTCAGCCGCCGTTGAAAACATCCAGCTTCAGATCTCTCCTTTGCTCGGAGAGCCGGACTGTGATCACGCTCAGGCGCATGAGATTCTTTGGGAACACTTTGGATTCTACCCGTACGACCCAGGCCTCGACCTGGAAACGGCAGCGTATAAGCTACAGCGGGTGAGCCCTCCATACTTTCTGTCGCTTCCCCCGCATCGGGTTTTGCCATCAGGGGCCGTTTCCCTCCGTCACGGTACTCCCTCGTGCCCCCCACGAGTTTGCACTGCAGACGCGGGAAACTGGCCTTCGCGCGGTGTTGTTTATTGCATGCTGCCCGCAGGCGTCCCATCACGCGTTCCGCCCGTCTCTACGCGATTAAACGCGGTCACTCATTCCATCTTTTCAGTCCCCATCCCCTGCCCCGCCCATTCACACTGGCTCGCGCGACACCCCATTCCCTCTCCATCACCGCCGTTCGCATACCTCTCCCTCCTCCCCACCCGCCGACGCCTACTCCTCGCTCCCGAACACCATGACCAAGAAGCGTCGATCTCTCACGGCAATCCTCGTCCCTTCCTTCCTGCCTCAGGCCGCTGCCTCCACCTCGGCTCTCTCCCCTCTCCCACCCTCGGCTACTAGGGCCCGCTCTAACAGCTCCGTGACGACTACGACCAGTACTGACTTCACCGCCATCGAGAGCTCGGCTGACTGGATTTCTTTCTATTCGGGGGCCTCTTCGCCTTTGACCTCAGTGGGACCCGTCACGCCTTCGCGCAACTCGCCGCCACCAGACCTCCTTGACGAGGACCCGTTCGCCAACCTCTCGCCGAGCCCTTCTGTGCGAGCCTCGCACGCGTCCTCCCCGGTACGTTCCGTCTTCGACGTCTTCGGCGAGAATGCGCAGCGTCTGCCAGAGCCCCCGCCCTCGCCACTGGCACAGAGTGCATTGGAGCAGGAAGTCGGCGCGCGTAGCTTGCGCAATGCGCGCTCTGTCAGCTCGTTACGCCGCGCGCCCGTGCCCTCTACTCCGCCACGCTCGCCAATAGAACCGACGCGTCCACGAGCTGCACGAAGGACCAAGTCGTCGGGCCCTCCTCAGGTACGCCCTGCCTACACGCGTCCCGCGTTTGCGCCGCGGCCCTCTCTGCCCTCTTTGAATACCCTTGCGTCGACGACGACAATACCTGTACCGAAGGTAAGTCAGCAATTCATCTGTCTGTTCCCAGCTGTCCGAGCTGCGAACTTGGTTGCAATGTGTACGTGTTGATGCGCTGACGGTTGTAACCTTCCTCAGGTCCGTAGGGGTCGGCCGGGCGCCCACTTACCGCTCGAACCATGGGAAGACTCGGCGGTATCTGGCCAGTCTGAACCGCCCTCGCCCACGAGCGCAAGGAGCTTTGTCACGTCCCCATCGTCGTTTGGCGCGCGCCGTAGAGGGCACTCTAGGCGCCCCACGCTGAGCATGATCAGAGACTCTCGGATGTTTTTGGACGGCGACGGCGAAAATGCGGACAGCGGAGGAGTGCCTCTGTTAGAGGCGCCCGTGACACGCGCTTCGAAGTATCTGCATAACGCCCAACAAGAAGGCGTAATGCAGGAAGGCGCTCCATTCGAAGCTTCCTCCCAGAATTCCCTTGCATTTGAGCTCAATGGGGACAGCGGCGAGAAGTTAGGGGGCTTGGATTTGGGTGATCCCCCACTGGACAAGTCTCCGACGCCTCCCCCAAAGTCTCCGTTGCACCGCTCGACTTCAGGCAGTTCTGGTGTCTACGTTGGAACCCCACGGTCATCCTCGGAGTCCACCGTCCCGTCGCTCTGCCCATCGTCGCCCCGGTCGTGCTCGTCAGGGTCTACCGAACCATCCTTCCATGTGTCCCCTGCACGTGTGCACTCACCCCTTCCCCCCCTTCCTAGCAGCTCCCACATTCATGTGCACGTCGACGCTGATCATTCCGGCCACCCGGAGTACTCTGAGTTGTTCGCACACCATCGCCATACCCAGCTTCTCACCAGCGACCTCTTAGCCAGTCTGGAATACAACTATTCCGACGCGCTCTCCCATCTTGGCAACAGCAGTGCCGGACATTCTCCGGTATCGCTCTTCCCCTCTGGCGACTTCGAGCCTGGATCGTCTGCAGGTACCATCAAGAACGTTTTTCCCCAAACCCATGCGCCATCCGAAGACAGCGACGACGGTGCCCATTCGCACTGGAGCTCTGAGAACGACCGTCTCTCGGTCCCGGAGGAGCCGTTGTCCCCGCGTTCCCCCCCAGAACTGCACAGCTCTTCCTCCGAGGATATTTCCACCGAGAGCAGCGTCTCGCCGTCGCTCATCTCGAGGTCGCGCTCGTCGTCCACCGTTTCGTCCGAGTACGATTTCGCCGACGAGGAGGACGGGTATTACTCGTACGACGTAGGGCCCTTCCAGGACCCGCTGGGGTCGCCTCCGACAGCGGGGCGGCAGCGCTCCGTCTTCGGCTATGGCATCCCCTGGCCGTCGACCCGCCGGCAGTCCGCGCAGTCCGGGGGCTCGGGCGGGTCCGGAGGCAGCAGCGTGGCGGACGTGCTGAGCGACCTGGAGGACCTCGCGGAGGACGTGACGGAGCGGTTCTCGCTGCGGCCGAGCTCCTCCGACAACAACTCTGTGCGTGCGTCGTCTTTCCTCTCCCTCTCCGACGACGGAGAGGGGGACGTGTTCGGCTCTCCGGGACAGGACGCGCTCGCTGACGCTCCTGAGGGCGATTACAGCTCGAGACGGAGCGGGCGCCCGAGCGGCGGGTCAAGTCACCACGGCGGCAGCAGCAGCGGGCGCGCTGGAAGCTCTTCCAACGGGCTTAGTGGCGGCTACGGGGGCTCGCTGAACGGGAGGGGAGGCCATCGTAGGGGGGCGGGGGGCGACGACGATGATGACGACGACAATAGAAAACGGCGCCCGACCCGGCTTCCTGTATCGTCCAGTGCAGTCGCGACCGATTCCGAGGAGGAGTCGGAGAGCGATTATGGCGAGCCGGACGAAGATGCTCGGGAAAGCGCGAGCGCTCATGGGCGGCGGGAACGACACGACACGACGCGACCTGGAGCCCCACAAACCTCTTCGGCCCCAAGGGATGATACGACGGACGACGATGTGCCGCTCGCTCAGCAGATCCCTGGCGCGCTGAAGGCGCAGCGGACGATCCGTAAGCAGGTGCGCGACGAGCTCGACCAGAAGCGCGCGGAGCGGAGGGCGAAGCATGCTCAGAGGGCCCTTCTCGAGCAGCAGCAGCAGGCCGAGCAGCGTCCGTCGCGCACGTTGTCGTCCGCGGTCGAACCGGCCTTCCCGCAGCAATCGTCGCCTCCGAGGCCTACGGGTCGTCCGCGCACGAAGACGCTCCCGAGCAATATGAACAGCCCGCTCCCCATTGGGGACCTGACGAAGAAGCTTCTCGGCCTCCAAGTCGCTCCTGTTGCAAGTCCGACTGGACCAGCTAGCCCTGTGCCGCGCGTGCCTGCGTCTCCGCTGGCTCTTCGTTCGAGACGCCCGTCGTACGATGGACACGAGCAACAGCTTCCGTCGTCTTTGACGCGTGGACGGACGCTGGCCGCTGACTATGGGTCGTACGTCCCGTCCGCCACGAGAGCGCTACCGGCTCAAGAGGGTGTCAGGACCCTTCGCCCCACCCGTTCCTTCCATCGCCCTCGCACCGCAGACGCCGATGTCACCCCTCCAGTGCCTGTCCAGACGAGCACATCATTGTCGCGTAGTGGCACTAGGCGGCGTCCCGTCACGGAGGAGCCGCCGCTCCCGTCGCCCTCGATGAACGGACACGCGTTGGATCGTATGAAGTCTGCGAGGACCGCACAGTCTCGTCGCCCCAGCGCCGAGCACCAGCAGGAGAGTGCGTCGGCGGCGTTCGCATCGCCGCGCGCGCATCCGAGCTCAGGTCATGCGAGTGCCGCCGCATCGCCACCCTCGGCGTTCTCGCAGCCCAGCAAGGCTTCGGGGGCGCAGATGTGGCAGCAGCGCGTGTTCATCGGGAACATGCAGCGCTTCGTTTTGGTCGAGATCGGGCCGGGGACGAGCGCGGGAGACGTGTTGAACATCGTCGATGGCCAGAGTGCGCTTGACCATAGTGCGGCGAGTGGCGGGTGGATGCTGTGGGAGGTCTCGCAGGACTTCGGCATGGGTAAGTGATTCGCCGCCAGGCTTGCGCTACACGAAGACCGAGACGCTGATATCTTGATTTCCTGTAGAGCGCCCGATCAGGAATTTTGAGACGCTGAACGATGTCTGCGGTGCTTGGAATTCGGACAAGACCGTCAACCTGCTCGTCATCAAGAAGACGCTCCTCGCACCTCTGCTAAGCTCGAAAGCTATGCCGTCCAGCTCGCCCACCTGCAGCGGCTATGTGCAGTGGGAGCACAAGCGTGGCAAGTGGCAGAAGCGGTGGATGGAGCTTCGGGAGCACAGTCTGTGGCTCTCCAAACGCGACACCGGCAAAGACGCGCAGTTCTTGTGCTCGCTCAACAACTTCGATGCGTACTACGTCACTCGCGTGCACAAGGCACCCAAGCCTTACGTCTTCTCCGTCAAGTCCACCGACAGCCTCACCTACTTCGAGGACACTTCCGACTACGTGCACGTCTTTTCTTGTGGGGAGTCCGAGGGTAAGAATTGGCTGGAGAAAATCCTCCTTGCTCGCGTACGTCCGGTCGTTCATTCTTATCAGCTGCACGATTGCTCATTGATTATTCGATCCCGCAGTCCTACGTCCTCTACCAGGAGCGCAACGTCGTCAGCGCATCTAATGCCGCTGCCGCTCCTAGTAACTCTGGTGCTGGCGCGCTGCAGCGTTCCGGAACACGCAGACGTCCCGCTCAACCCCTAGTAGCTGTCGGTGCTCCCAAGAACGACATGATGGCTCCCCTCTCCTTCGAGGCCCCTGCAGGGTCTCTCCTCTCACGCCGCTGAGCCGGTTTACCACATCCTATCATACACAGATCCTTGTATATAATCCGGCCCCTCGTCGGAACTATGTATACTGGTGTACTAGTATCGCGTTCCCGATCTCGTTTCTTCGCGATATTGTACGCTTGTCTCCCCTTACCTGTACCTGATCCGAGCTCGCCCTTGTCTATTACATCTGGGTCACTCGTTACCTATTTATTACTTCGCACCCTGTGAAAGCCGGTCCTCACTAGTTCTACAGTACTGTTTCGTAGCGCACGACGCTCGTCATACCACATAGTCATTCTCTCCATCCTACCTTGTATTCACCGTAGGCAACATGTAACGAGCACTAGAGGCATAGAACCAAATGACAACTATCCGAAACATCTTCGCAAGGCTCCTGGAGTCCTACCTGCAGTTGAGGACATCCTGGTCTACTAAAGCTGCTAGCTCCCTCTCTGGTATGACTCGCTTCTCGTTCTGTTACTCTGCCCAATATGCAGCCTCTCGTCAATTCAAATCTAGTCGGAGCACGGCCACCACCGAGACTGCTCTACGGTACAAACCGCCGGTTCTCCGCACTCAACAGCAGAGACTTCGAGTCTGCCATGAGAGAGGACCTAACGGGACTGCTGACATTGGATGAGCACGTATATTGATAGATGGCTGCTATACAGGAGCATCGAAAGGCGAACGAGAGGAAGAGGCCAAAACACATCTATTTACACGTCCTGCGACGCTTTGGCTAGTAGCTGCGGGACTACCAAAGTAGGAGAGTGAAAAAGCACGTATACAACGGAGTATGGAACCTTGACTATGCTATACTACAATGATTGAAGAGAAAGGACTCCCAGCTGAAAGCGGGTACAACAGCATACATACGGCAATACAGGGAAGGCGAACGATAACGTAGGATTGTCATGAGTCACACTGCAGCATGGTGGCCACGTGGGATCGAAGAGAAAAGCTCCTGTCCATCCTTGAGAAGAGGAGGGTTAGAGATCCGACAGAGCGAGAAAGGGACACGAGAAGACGTGAACACTAGGAGCATGTTTTTGTCTAGGCATGACTATTTGGATCCATTGGAGGTCGTCCGAAGGCTCAGGGCGATTCGGCAGCGAACAGCTGTGGCGTGACCGAGACACCATCAGGTGCGGGATAGAGGCGCAGTGGGACGATCGGGACGTACCCTGGCAATGCCCGCATGTTCATGAATGGGCGTGGGTGGGGTGGACACGGGCCTAACCATCGATCGTGTCGCAAAAAGCGTCTCGGCATACAGGCCCCCTTCAGGGTACAGGTACGACTGCGGTGCATGTGCGCTTTCGACTAGCGTAGAACCATCGACGATACGGTGGGACGAGTAAGTGGGATAGCCTGAGGCAAGGCCGCTGGGTTGAGTGATGGGGGTGGTCGTCAGGCTTCGTCGGACACTATGTGTGCGTCTGCTTTTGGGGGTCTGGGATTCCGGGATGGCCGCTGAGGGAGGGGGAGGTGGGGCAGGGATTTGTCCCGACATTTCCGGCAGCGCGAAGGGCTGAGGCGGCGAGATAGGCGGATACATAATAGGGTACGCATATATGACCGGGGAGACGAGTGGCCCGGGAGAAAGCGGGCTATACATAGGCGGGAATTCTGGGTAGGGAAAGACGTAGTCTGGTTCGCCTGTGAACACATACGTTAATTCCCGCGACGTCTAGGGCGAACAAAAGCGAAAGCTACGTACTCGTGTCTGGGTGGGCGTATCGACAGTCTGCGCCTTCGGTACAGCGTCCTGCCATGAAGTTCTCGCACACCTCGCCTGTTCACAGGACACAATTAGGTGAGCGCCAGACCTTCCGTACACAATGGCTCTATCACGTACGTTGGCCGCTCATCATGACGCCACCACCTACGACTCGCCATGTCACGGGGTAGAAGTTCTTCTTTGGGTCTTTGTGTTCCGGCGCATGTTCCGACATGGAACCAGTGTTAGGGGACAGCGGAGAGAATGTATCACCCTGCACACTGGACTCTGCGCCGCTGAGCTCCGGCTCGGCTTCGCTCTCCGAGTAGGTCCCCGCGAGGGCAACAAGACCAGTCGGCCGGCACCCTTCGTCCGGATGCTCGTGGATGCTGATGGAGGACTGTTAGTACAATATCCCCAAAGGCGATTGCGCTGGCCTTACAAGTTGCACCGATCGCCTTTGATGCACCCACCAGGCTCCACATAGAACCGACATGGCTTGGCTGAATGACAACGATGAGCGACAGAATTACAATATCTCAAGATAGGACGTACTCTTGAAGAACTGGTTCCTGTGCCGCGCCGACTTTGCCGGCTGTTGCGCGAGCCTCGACATGGTCGACGACACTTGCGGCGGCGGCCACTCGGACGCCTCCTGAGCATTATCCCTCCAAACCCCACTCTCCGGCCAATTATAACTCTCCCCGAGACCTCCTATGGCCGGTCCTGCAGCGTCCCTCCACAGAGAGTGCGACGAGGGCGCCCCGACCGCCGACACAGGAGTCCCCGGCGGTGCGGGCGGGTCTAGCCTATAGTCCGCGTCCCCCGTACACATATCGGCGGACGTCTCGACGGACACCCGCCACCTGCGCACGCTCTGGCTGTCCGGACAGTCGCTGCAGTCTACAGTGGGTGTATGTGCGCGTGGGAGGGCCCTCCTGTGTGGCTGCTCCCGGCGAGGCGCGCGCGGCAGTCCGTTGCGGATGTCAAACTGTGCTGGCGTAGACTGACCTGTTCCTGGGCGGGCGTGCTTCGGAGGTGCTGTGGAGGGGAACTCGGGCGTGCGGCTGGGGAGAGAGGGCGGGGAGGAAGCGGGCATACGAAGTGTGGGGCAGAGGAGAGAACGCGTGATGGTGTGGATGGGGGCAATAAGCTGCGCTGTGGGGGAGGGCGTGGGTGCGATATGCAAGTACGAGCAGTGTTCTCCGTAGCGGCAGGTGCCCAGTGGAAAGTTGCGACAGAGCTTGGCTGGAGGCGGAATGTGTGTCAGCGCTGCGCAAAGTGGGCCACCAGCGACAGGTGGCGGAAGGCACTTACTCCGGTACCGTGCGTTGCGAGACTTCTGGCCGGGCGACCCTGAGGTGCCCTCGTCGGGCTGCCTTTCTGCTTTTCTGCTTCCGTTCATGCGGAGTCTATCACAATGCTGAAACTAATCTGCGAAGGTCGAAGACGAAAGCGAAAGTGTACGAGGTCGAAGGATGGGGAGAGGGGGAGAAAATTACGACAACAAGCGTCTGCCAGCCCAATATATAGATCGCCGTCGAAAGGGAGATCCCCCCGCAGGAGAAACAAGAAAAGAAAAGGCGGGATGAGCGTCCGCTCCGTCACAGGCAGATGCTGGATAAGCGCAATCCGCTCACCTGAGGCCCGCGATATTGCACAAAACAATTGTCTACAGCCACTGCCACCCGAGTGCTCCGGACAGCAGGAGATAGGGACAGCGCGCCGTAGCTCGATCGTCCGTAAATCAGTACGCGATGCGGAATGCGTGACGGCGTGCCACGCAGCCCGAGCTCTCCGCAGGCGGGAGCAGCAGCAGCTTGCGAGAATTTGTTTCAAGCTGTGTCGGAGGAGTCGGGGGAGGCCCAAGCGACGTGAGGGAGAGGGGTCGGGCAGTCTCGGCTCTCCGGCCCACAAAGGCAGATGTCAAACGCGTCGTTCAAGTGTCGTGTGTACGGGCCGGGAGCGAGAAATTCAAATGTTCGTGCTGCCGTCTGCACCGCAGCGCTCGCGCGTCCTGCTCGAGCAAGATCCGTAGCGTTAGCGTTAGAAGGACGGCGGGTTCGGGACACTAGATGCACCAAGAGCGAAGCTGAAGCCGCTGCTGCAGCGGCGACGCTCGAGGACGACGCGAAGGAGAAGGCCCCAGAGGCGACCGGGTGGCACGCCCGTGTCTTATACCTGCGACTGGAAATCCGCGGGTGAGCTTCGTCCGTCATGGGTCTTGTCGCTGCGAGCGGCCGTCGACCGCCCAGCCAGAACGTCGAACAATGTGTCCCTAGCGGCTTAGTCAGCCGCAACTCTGTCTCGCTCCGCCTGCTCTCTTTTGTCTGCTCGCCGAGTGGCAGGCGCGGGGGCGGGGCTCGCGGGGCTTGCGGGCCCACGGATGGGCGATCGAAGATGCCGCGAGACAATAAGATCGCGCATCGCGTCCGGATGAGGGCCGCCCACGTTTTGAGACAAAACAATTGCTTGGGGACGGGGGCCAAATGATTCTGATCATTGATGTGCTTGCTGTATGTCTTCTCTAGCTAGAATATCCTGCGAAATTGATTGGGGATGCATCTTGTCCCTGTATATCCGAGCGTGAGCAGGTGTGATCGACTTGGAGAACAAGAATCTACGTCCCTTTTCGGGAAGGTTGTTTCCTTCCTGCGCGGACGTCATTCCAGCGCTTGTTCGGTCCCGTAACACTCGGTCCGATGTCCGACCCTCCCGTGGCCAGGTTGAGTGTTGCCACGACTTACATATTCGTCGGTCGCTGTTACGGAAACAAACAAGCACATGTGTCTCATATCGGGTAGTTAATGCATTGAGATGTGATATAGTACACCTATACATTACACAGATTGCACTCGTCATACTGTTCCCCCCAAAGCAAAGCAAGTACACCTACAGTAAGGACCCAGTGGGCGAGAACGTACTGTAAAGACGGATGAGGTCCTATCGCCCCAAGTCCAGGGTATGCGTCATAAACAGATCGTAAAGGGAGCTCGCAACTCGTCAAACAATCGTATGTTATGTCGACGACGGAGAACCGGCTCGTTGATCGGATGGGGGCTGAAGGAGGGGCGTCCGCTCGTCTGGATGCGCGGACGAAGACGCGGCTCGTGTAGACGTGGGCCGGTCGTGATGGTCGTCGGAGTCAGAGGGCGCAGGGGGCTGAGCCTCTGAATGCGGCTGCGTCACATCCGCCTTGCAAATAGGACACTGGTGATGGGCAGGGTCAGGAACGGTTGCTGTCGCGTGACCAGCAGCAAGTCGACGACGCACCAGTTTCTTCTTGTGGATCAGCCACTCATCAATCTCGTCGATATGGAAGAGGTGGTAGCAGGGAAGGACGCGCACGCGATCCCCCTTGACAAACATCTCCAAGCAGATCGCGCACTCCACCTGCTGGTCCGCCCATGCCGGCGTCGAGGGTTCATGCGAAGTCGACGGGGCATCTGGTCCTCGTTCGAGGTCGGGCGGGCCCTCGGCGTTACTGACGTCTGCGGGAACGTACAGGGGCTCGTGTTTCTCCCAGCCAGTGCCGGTCCATACCCGGGATGGAAACTTGTGGACGATGTCCTCCGGAGCTCGATCGCGCTGGGCAGCGCGAGCGGCTCGTACACGGTGGATGAGAAGCGTTAGGAAAGTGAGCAGAGAAGGAAGTAGAAGTATTATTATGAAGGTGATTACGGGGCTGCGTGTTCGATTATGTGTGTCAGAATCGGATGGAGTCTTGCGCATGTAGTGGATGAGCTCACGAATACCATTCCCATGCCGAATATTCAGTGCTGATGAGTAGTGAAAGGGTCTTCAAGCCGTTGTGCGTAGTGTTGGACGTTGCGATCATAGCTGAAAGCTGGACGTAATCCCAATACTTAATGTAGGTAGCGGCGATGGTGACGTCCGACGAATCCCCTGCGGAGGCAGAGCTATGTCAACAGAAGAGAGAGCTAAGAACGTCAATCGACTCACTTTCGCTAAACATGTTCAGTAGTGCATCCGGATTGTCTCTGTCTCCCCCAACTACAACCGCCTTCGCGCCCAGCTTCTGTGCCTGCCTCGCCTTCTCGACGAAAGGACAGCCACCTCGCTGAACAAGCGCGATCCAGGTGTCCGCGTCCTCCGGCGTGTGATCCCCACTGATGCAGAGTTCGGGGCATCCCAGGACAGGGTCGGCCTCGAAAAAACGGGTGCGGTTCGTCTCGTCTCCCCCGTCCTGGGGGCAAGGAGACGTGAAAGACGAAAGGGGGATTACATACCCCAGGAGCGGGTCGGCAAGCTCTGCGCCGAACGAGGCAGGCCGTGCTGGGAAGGTGACGGGAGGCGTTCGGTCGACGACAGAGACGGTGCCATCCGAGGCCCAAGCCCAGCCCCAGAGCCAGCTGCTGTCGTCGCGGGCGCTTCCAGGAGGAGGCCCAGTGAGCTTACGGAGCCAGTCGACGGGGGTGCAGCGGGCGGGGGCGACGAGAGACGATGAGGTGAGGACGAGGGCGAGGAATAGGCTGATCATGGAGAGAGCGAAGAGGCGGAGGCCAGGCTCGAGCAAGTGGCCCGAGCGGGAGGATGTTGAGGACGAAGACGAAAGCGGGAGAGGGGAGTCCGGGGGCAAGATATGCAGACCGCCTGCCTTTTTGGTCGAGTGCTGGATGACGTTGGACTCTTCCAGAGCGCACGCGGCTCTGCTTCCTCTCATCTCAATCCCGACCGGCCGTCCACCAGTTTCGATGGCTTCCATTGGCACACAGTGAAGCCTGCGTGTACGTATCGCGGGTGTGCGATGAGGGATGGGTGGGTCTGTTCGCAGTTCCACTCACGGGTCGCGCTAACTTACATATACGCCACCCCGCGTCTCCGGGGCGGACAGGACGGTCGCGCGTGGTCATCACGGACTCATGGATGCTTGAGCTACCTCCGCTCGGACACCAACTCCGGACACCAGCCTCGGTGGCTCGTAAGCAATGTCCACTCAACACGCTTCGCAACTCGCCGAGCGTAGGATCATGCCAGCCAAGAACATTCCACGCAGCGAAGAACCTTCCTCACTCGCACCGCCGCTCTTCCTCCAGCTGCTCCTCCACCAATCACCACCTCACACATTCCAATCCGGACTCTCCACTCCCTCATCTGTGACGCTCCATAGCATCCATCAGGTTGGCGATCGCGCCACCTAAGTAATGTCACTTCGTATTTTCTCTACGAGCGCTTCACTGCGCACCGCGTCATGAACAATTCAGCGCCTTTCATGTGGTTAGACTTGGAGTACGTCGCAATCGAATTCTAGGGACGTGATGGAAACTGATAGACACACTTACAGCGGTTTGCATATCGATAGGCCCCTTGGAAAAAAACATGCTCAGGTCGGTTGGGTGCCGAGCCATATCCGAGCCCAATCAGGTAGTCAGACGCTCCGAGACCTCACCGAGCGCGCTGCCCAGCAGGGCCAGTTCAACGCGTCTCGGTGGTGCCCTCCAGCGTCTTGAGTGGCGGATCGGACTCGCATCTTGGTCGGCTCGTCAACCGACCTGAGCGTATTTTCTTCAAAAGGGCCTATCGATATGCAAACCGCTGTAAAGGCCGTTGCCCTCTTTGAAGATTGTATACCCAGGCACAATCCAGTGCGGTAGAGGTTCCGCGTTGCGGCTGGTCAGTGTCTCCTACTATGATTCGCGCTCATTGGCATCATAACCTGCTTCTGCGTCGCTCTATCCTCCGCTGCGCTCCGGCTCGTACTTTCCGTCCCTGATCAATCCTTGTCTTGGACAGACACCTGCGCTGCCAACGGACTGCCTTGCAAAACGCCATGTAGTCGCCCGCTTTGTGGAGTCGACTCACTCTTTCGCGGCCGGCATCCTGGTTCCCGAACCATCAGATAAGACAACGTTCCGGTGAAACGCATTCTCCAGCGCCAGTGTAGGAACCTGGGCGTTCGTAGAAAATTACTTTCGTATGGGATTTTGAGACCGGCAGGGATGTAGAACGCGTGGACTCCAACAGTTCAGGACCAGTCGAAGCGGTAATCTCGGCTTACCGCGCCCATGATGCTGGTCAACAAGGCGTTCGAAGGTCCCTACTCCTTTGCAGGATTACTCAAACCTGGCCGACATCTCGTCGTGATCACGAAACAACCCCACACCGTGGGCGCACGACCTGTGAGTGCTACTTTGCCTCGGGACGTTCGATGGCTTCCCAGCTCAATGTGCTCGATGTATCCGCTTCCAATTCTTATGATGACATTTAGAACAGGCCTTGGAGTAAGTTCTGTCTCCTACTATGCGCTTCTCGTGGGCCCATTGCGAACAAGATCATATTTGTCACGGCACTCCTCTTCTCCTCCGCGAACTACCACCGTACATCATTACTCCTACCGGCCGACTCTATGTATGTTGCACCCGACATGAAGCCATCATTGAAGACGGATGCACGATTTCGATACCGACACGACAAGCCGGCTATAAACCCTACCTCGAAGCGGGTGGTATAGAGGTATCCGATATATTGGTGCGTCCCCTTAGTCTCCGCTTCTCCCTCGTCCACCTGTCCAAATTGTCGACTTTGAGGTCGTTAGACCTGGGTGACGGCGTCCCGGTGGATCTGCAGACAGGCCTGCGTGATGCCCCAGGAACGACTCTACTCGCCTCCGATGCGCCGCTGCCTCTCCAGAAAGCGCCGGGACGAGTTGAGAGCACACAGCGCCGCCGATGGCCCTGCTTTCCCGCGTTCGCGGAACAGGTAGCGATGCGCTGCCCAGAGGTCCAGATGGTTACCTTCTTCCGAGCACGGTGCAACGATGGTAGCCTCCCCTGCAGCGACTCTTGAGCCTTCGCACGAAATCAGTTTGCCGAATGTCTCAGCGCCGTCCATTTTCGCGGGTGGCCCGGGCCTGCAGCGATATTTCGCCCTGAAATCATGACGCTTTGACTCCATCGACACCGTTCTGCATGCGCATGTCATCTTTTCATTCGCAGTTTCCTGGCGTCGAGAGGCACGTGTGTCCGAATGTTTCACAGCCGACTGGCAATGCACGATTTCATACGTGAGTGTGACTGCATTGTGTGGAGTCTCGCGCCCGCTGACGTTGCTGTAGAGGAAGAGATGCAGTGTTCACTCAATGACGCGTTTTGTTCAGCATCGTGGGTGTGCAAGGTGGACGGGAAGCGAGTATTACTTGCTGAACATTGGCATTATCGTGTCGTTATGGGTACCGTCGGGTATGGCCTTCGTCGTTTTGTCGGGACAGACGAGCTCCTTCATGCGACCTATGATGTCCTCCAAGGCAAGTACTATGTTGCATATTCACCCGGGCCCTCGCTCTGACTCATATGGGATACTCAGCAATGAAGGATGCTTTTACGAAGGATACAAATCTGCATAGGGACATCAGCGTCGGCAACATCATCTTGGTGCGCGAGCCAGGACAGGTGTTCTCATTGACTGGGACTCCTGCTGTGATGTTGATGAATCGGGGGAAGCGGTTGAGACCGGACGTGCTGCAGGATCTATTTTCCGCCAATAGTCGACTTGATCTGACCCTCTCTCATAGGGAACGTGGCTCTTCATGTCACGTCGCATGCTGTCGTCCTTCGGTTTCGAGGGTAAGCAGACATTGGCAGACGATCTAGAATCTCTGGTCTATGTGGTGCTCTACTGCGCTCTTCTGTGGCTTCCCCACGACCTCTCTCAGGATGACCTGCAGGCAGCGATGAAGGGAATCTTCGAGCTCTCTAGGTGGCACCCAGTTAGGAAGGCCTTTGTGGGGGGCGATGGGAAAATAGGCCTCGCGCTTCAGCACGACTACATCAAGCACGCGAACATCCCAGCCCCGTTCCAGCGGTGGTTGGATTCAGTCCTAGACCATATGATACCTGTCGGCGGCGGTCACTCAGGACCACGCCGAGACACGTCTCAGTGGTCCGCCGACCAGCTCGATACGTTCTGGGCCGACATCTTGCAGACAGAAACCCTTGAGCAGAACGACCGGGTCGTTCGTGATTATCCTCGCGCACTAGGCGACTATGAACCCCAAACAGGTCTGGAATCCACTGAAGCCATCGTCCTCGGGAAACGCGCTTCCAAGGAGCGCGATCTCGACGAGCCTGAGCCCGACAAGAAGGCAAAACGTCCACGAGGCAAGAAGTTGGCCGCCGAAGCTCCTAAACCGTCAGCCTCACTAGGACTGCCCCGGCGCAGTCTTAGACTGGCGGCGAAGGCTAAGCAAGGCCCTCAGCTGCCTATCGTCGCAAAACGTGCGCCCAAGGAAAGGGTCGCTTCGAACCCTCGCCGTACTGGGAAGAAAGGGCGTGGCCAGTAGACGCCAACTGTCCAAGAGCATTGACGATTACTACCGAGCCTGCTCTATGCTTTCGTTGCTGTGGTGCTGTCCCTATTTCTTGGGTCTACTTGCTTTCCTATGTATCTTCTCTGTCCTGGATTCCGATTCACGTATTCGCGCATTACCTCTGTATAAGCATATGTCAGCTGAGAGCCCTACTCGTCTTAAATTAGCTTGCTACTGCCACAAATTGTTTCACCACCGCTTATCTGACGCTTTTTGTTATCAAAAACACGCCCGTGAGCGAGCAAACTCGAGCAAGCCCCTTGCCCAACTCTCATCTGCTCGTAGGCATGTGCAGAAGTTCTCTTTCCATGATACATCTCCCTCGTCGGCAACATCATCGTATTAGATTCTAGTCGTACATGCCACCGAACACGGTGCTGGTATCTCGTCATGAAGTCGTGAGAGGTCGTAAAGGGCGTACAGCAGCGCATCCAGCGCGAGGTATTAACGGAACCCATGCCAGGAAGCTTCCTCGGGACGGAGGAGAGTGAAGGCGTGTAAAAGTGATCATAGAGATACAATGCGAGCGTGAATGTTGCGCATAGGAACCGACATATAGGGATGGGATCGAAGGATAGATGCTCACACGCAGTGGCCACTTCACAGCTGCAGCTGCCTGCGGAACCTGAACAAGCGCGTCTGCTCGTCCACGTTCTCCGCATAATGTACGTCGTCCTCGTCGAACTCCGCATTTGCGTCGACCTTCACCGCCGTGTCCTCGACCACCCCTGCGTCTCCCGCAGGCTGCTCCGTGAACGTGATAGGCTCACTCGAGTCGCCAAAAGTCGCAGTCGCGTTCGCGAACTCGCCGTCGAACGAATGGCCCTCGTTCGGTGCGTACCACCAGAGCGTCGTGACACCCACAGGAAACGTGTACGTCGCCTGCATCCCGCGGAACTCGATCGTCGTCTGCACGGGCACGGGGTCCCACGGGCCGTTCGGGTGGTCGTTCCTACCAGCGAGCGCGCGCGCAACGACGCCCGAGCAATCAGCGCAACGGATTGGAGGGGCCCGCGAGTGAAAATCAGGACACGCACGAGTTGAGTACGACGAGGCTGTAGCGCAGCCAGTCTGCGGAGTTGACGCGGCCGGTGACGTACGCGCCGACGGTGAGGGCCGAGCTGAGCGTGCCGCCGACGCTCACGCCGATGCGCTTCCCCCATGGGCCACCCGCGTCGCGGGGAAGGGTCGCCTTGGCGGCTTGGGCCATGGAGTAGACTGCACATTGCACACGGGAGGGGCAAGTCAGTACAGTACGGGGTCGAAGACGAGGACATAGAAGAGGGGCAGAATGGACGAAGACGTACACTCTTGGTTGACGCTCCAGCTCCCGTCGCTGTTAACGGTGACGACCGGCCGGCAGGGGGTGCCGCACGAGTTCGTCCCGGGGAGCATCGGGCTGCCGTTCCCGTCGAGCGCGAGGTTCCACATCAGGCCGTTGTGGGAGTTGTGCGTGATCCCCCCGACGAAGCTGTGTTGTCGCACGTCAGATTCCAGATCCAGGCGCAGCAGCGTTCGAGCAGGACACGATCTGAGATGCGTCCTGAAACGGGACGCGCGGACTCACAGGTTTTGCATGTACCACTGTGACAGATGGTTAGTCAACCGTCGCGGGAAGGAGAGGGAGGTCGGGCAAGGACGGACCTTGATGTCGCTCCACCAGTCGGTGCCCTGCGTACCGGAGCATTCGGTGAAGTAGATCTCCTTGGTAGGGTATGCGCTGTGGAACGTGTCTTGCTGGTCCACGGAGCCCGAGTAGCAGTGGAACGAAACACCGGCAAATGCATTCGGGGCGTCTTGCATCTGCAACCATATCAGCGACCGACATGATTTGGAACTAAATGCCAATATCCCGGGATGACTGCCGGTGCAATCTTCACATACCAGTGTGATAGGATATCCTGCCGCGTCGTTCCAGTTGTGCTCATATCCGATTATCTTCACCCCGGAGAATCCATTACTATCCATCAATGAGCGCAGAGCGATACCAATTTGCGCCTCCTGCGATGCAGAGACCTTGCATGTCGGATAGGTCGGGTTGCTATTCTCAGGCTCATTCTGTGTAAGCAAGGCAAGTATAGTCGGCATGCCGTCCAAGTCAAACATAGCTCTTATCTGCACGATCACGCGACCAAACATACCTGGATACTGATAGCGTAGACTGAGATGCCCTTGCTCTGGAAGCCCTGAAGGGACTTCAGAAGGTAGTTGGCGTCTGCGGCGCACAGAACGCGCATAAGACAAAAATGAACGTTAGCCCTGTGCGCACGCGGTTCGTACGGCAGCGGCCCAGAATAGGCCCGCACTCACAGACTGTAGTATAGTTGGATAGGAAGTTCCCGCCATTCATAGTCCCGGAGTCCTTCATCCAGCCCGGCTGCAATGATGTCAGCTCTGACGCAGACATACCCGCATGCGCCGTGTGCCTGGAGACGCACCGGCGACCAGGGGAGTATGTGAATCCGAAGGACGTTGTTTATGCTCCGGATGTCACTTAGGACCGAGAAAAGATACGAGGGCGCCCTGTTAATGTTGAAGCCGGACAAGGACGTGTCGCCGCTCGTGTCATCGAAACTGTAAACTACACGCGCCACGAGGCCAGCGGGGTCAGCGGACTGCTGTAGACGTAACGCAGACCGCACCGCGACCGCGTGCAGCACTGCGCCAGCGGGGCTGTCGTGGGACGAGGATAGACCCAAGATACTCACGGCCAGCGGAAAAGTCTGAGGCCCCGAGCGGGATGCGCAGATATGAGAAGCCCGCGGAGTTCGCGCCATCCGTCGCTGCAGAGACCAGGGGTGGGATCCAGAAGCCGTCGGAGGCGGGGAAATTACGCAGGACAAGACGAAGTCAGCATGGCTGTGAGCGGAGCGCTGCCGGATGCCCAAACCTAGCACTCACGGTCGAAGAGGTACTCGAGCAGGCTCCAATAGCTGCTCGAATCCGCGTTCTGCACCCGCGACGTTCTATCAGCTATCGCATTCGGAGCCGCATGTCTGAATTGGTACACTTGCCTTGAGATTGTTGAGGATCAGCGCAGACGAATCGGCTGAGGGGAGCACGAGCAGTGATATCAGCAGGGTGCGCAGTCAGGTGACGCACTACACGCGACCCCGCGCCCGGTCGAGACTAGAAGCGAGGGGACGTACTCAGGGAAGCGCCGAAGCCCCAGACGGACTGGAACGTCGAGGCGTCTGTGATGTCGATGTCGGCGTCGCCAATGGCCCCTGGCGAGCCGAAGTTTATTGGGTTCGGGGAGAGATTCGTGTACGTGAAGATGCTCGATCTGTCCCACGTCGTCGCCCACTACGCGCATCGCGACGGGGAGGTCACAAGAGCAGATAGCAAGAAGTGAGCAATGGGCACTAGTGCAAGATCGACGCCGCCCGTCTCGGGGGTCAATGGAGAAGCAGGTGTACGTACGATGTCGTAGATTTGTTGACCAAGTATGGGGGCCGCGAAGGCGAGAACCGACGCGAAGGCTGTTGGTTTCCGCATCTCGCGACGTCCACAGATAGCGATGTGCTGGAGTACAGTGGGTGGCGGGTTCGAGGCGAGTTCCTTAGTACTCGCTATGCCTGGAGGAGCAGAATCGGAAGAGGAGCTAGAGAGATGAGCGTACTGGCGACAGAGGACAACGGGAGCGGGCCTTATATAGCCTGCGCATCGAAGTCCTGACGGAAGTCAGCCGAACATGAAGACACAAACTGCGAGATTCGAGGAGCCTCGGATGTATCGTGACAGAAGTCCCCGCCGCTCCTGATACGCCTATGTTTGTGCTAGCATGTTGCCCAGTCGGTGTCTCTGTCAGACACCATGCTTCTATCGCATCTGCATCTGTATCCGCCACGCCGACGCGACTCCCTGATGCTCGCCGTAACCGTCAGATTGTCCGCGAGCTTTCTCCACCGCGTCGTCATGCGCCGGGGTCAGAACTCTACGCTCCGTCACTGCAGCGCCCACGGTGCGGCAAGGGAAGTCACACGCAAGCTATGCGCCCCAAGCGGCCCCGATATGTGATCTACTATGCATGATCATCCCTCTGCGAACCGTATTTCCATAATTCATCAACATCACCTGGCCGAGAACTTGCAGCCCGCGGCAACCCGATCACCTCGTTTGCCCTGTGCCAAGGGTGCGAAGAGTGCGAAGAGTGCAAGAACGGGCATGCCGGGCACGACCCATCGCTTCGCACCTCAGTACAATCCGCACCGCCATATCCTTGTTTGTCTCTTTTCTCCAAGGCACTCCCACGTGATCAAACTAAACCTGAGGCTACGAGCGTAGAAGACCTTCGAGGTACCTGGACACGCCGGCAACACTACCTTGCATGTGCGACTTCCAGACTCAACGGTTCCCACAACTATTCATCGGCCACCACATATCGGTCGATGTCGGAACGCAGACTGTCATCTAAAGGTCAAACGTCTCCCAAGGATGCATCGCCACAAAGCCGCCATGCGCAACACGGCTTCACCCGGGAGTATCTTCATGTCCCCCTGATCTCGCTGTCATCGAGGATTGACAGGACGGAATATGTGCTTACCATAACCCCGTCTGCCCCCTCCATTTCTGCAACGCGTGCGAACCCAGTCCATTGCGCACGTAACCGTATGCTACAACATCACAACGGTGAATAGCGCCTCACGAAATCGTCCGACAAAACTCGTTCGTGTATGATTCGAGTCATGGGCGTTCCGCGCTTTACAATAGAGTCGTGTTCAGATCGCCTGTCCTTCGTGAGTCGAATCAGGAGGGCTCGGAGGCGTCCAGTTGTTCACGACGGCTTGCGCCATGCTATCCACCGACCACGCGTCTGTAGTCAGATGGATCGGAATCACCAAGCGCATCTCCTTGAACGGAGCTTTCGACGGCTCCGGTGGCTGCATCGTGAACTCGAGGAAATCCTGCCAGAGGATATCAGCACACACGCCGCACGGAGGTACTGTCCTTCTTGCATACCCTGACACTAAGGCCGCCGGCCTTGAAGCTTCCGACCTTCACGTCTTTATCCAGGCGTATCTCGCCGTTAAAGCATAGCCATTCATGACCATCACCCTAAATGAGACAGATGCTCAGTCGCGGTTTGCTAGAGACGGCATAGGCTCGCGCCGTTGGATTTGTCGCACTCACAGAGTGCTTGAAGTCACCCTCGCCGATGGGGTCTACCCTCCAGATATCTGTCTTCGTTCCCAAGATGAACTCGTTCCTGAACGCAGAATATGACCATGAGCCCCGCTGAGATGCACGTGGGCCTGAAGGAAGCAGGTCCTACCGAACGTCCACAGTCGACTTCCTGACGACGCGCAGCCGCGTAAATTGCTTGTTCGGCGCGAGGATTGTCGCGGTGGGCCCGTACGGGAGGAACGCCGCCAAGGAGAACGCCGATGAGCTGAACATGACATGGAACGGAATAGGCTGGGTGATGCTGTATACCCGGGACGCAGGTATGTACAGCTGCAACAAAAAGCGTGCATCAGGAGGGGCCAGCACGCCACGGGGTCACGCGCGCGGGGATCGGTAGCGCGACGGCGGCGTGAGACACGCACCTGACAGAGGATGTCCATGCCACCGGCAAGCCGCGCCTTCATCACCGACTCCCAGCGCTGCCACTCCGGCGTTTCGATGAACTTGAAGTTGTCGAACGACTGGCGCATCGGCGCCGGGAGTGGCACGCCCGGGCGTGATCGTGGGTAGTAGATGAAGGGGGTCGAGACGTGCCTTGCGATAAGCTGACCGTCAACTCTAGCAAATCTTTCACGAAAGACAGAAACCGACCCATTGCCTATCCGCAGGAGCTGCGATGCTTTGCTCTTTGTCACTGACACGCTCACTTTGTATTCTGTTGCGGCCGTGAATCCAGGCACGCCGGACAGATGGACGTCGTGAGTCGGCGGTAGTGGCTGAGGGAGGCGCAGTCGCCGGTGAGTACCATGGCGGCTAGCCTAGCGCACGTAGTGTGCACTCACGTAGGTGTCCTTGTCATCCGAGAACGTTGTGGGCAACGTCAAGCTGAACTCGAGCATCGAAGGACAGGATTCCGAGTCCATCTCCTTGCTCCAAAGCGTGACTTTCTCTAAACAAAGCTTGTAGGTCGTCGTTCCGCCTTCTCCGACTTCCCTCAGGTGCAAATTGCCCTCAATCTAGTGACGAGAACCAAAAGGTACCGTGAGGGGATAGAGAGATTTGTAATCCTTTCCGGTCGTCGACTTTGTGTGCAGCACGCACCTTGACCTCAACGGCAGTGACCCCCTCCACACCTGATAAAGTAACGGCGCCCTCAACGGCAGCGCCGCACCCGTAGATTGGAAGGCTCGCGTTGTTGTCCTGAGCGTAGAGACGGAGGCTCACATTCTTCGACTGCTTGACAAAGCTCCCTTCCGGCCTCAGAACTGGGCGGTTTAGAGCGAGGCGTTGCTCATAGGCGTGCGGCTCAGCTGAATAGGCCGGCGTACCCTGGAACGACAGGCGCCCAGTGTATGCTGGTAGACTGGTGGTAGACATCGGGTGGTAGTCGACAAGGGAGGTAGCGCAAGTGGATGCAAGCGGAAGGCGTCTGGAGTCCGGTTTCAGGAGCTCGCCTTCGTAACAGCCGGGAACAGCAATGGGGGCACAGGAGATTGAAGAGGAAGACGATGGAGCAGCAGGAAGCGACCAGATGCTCGACGGAGGTGACTAAGACGACATTCGTTCTAAGCTGAGTGCCCTGCGCGACAGTATTAGCACACTCGTCTGACACCGGCCTGCGGGCGGCTCGGGACCTCATGGAGACTGACCAGCGAACGGCTCCCACCCTCCGTGTGGCGTGCACACACCCATGAACACTCTGCGCTGTGCGTTCAACAATACCAAGACCACCAGGAGCAATGAACCTTCCGTTGCCGCCGGTTGTCATTTAGTGAAGCCCTCGGCCGCGCAGCGGGCGGGCGGTGCTCGACATCAACTCATTGACTGTTCGAACATAGGTTCCATGCCAAAGGTGGAAGGATGACCGCATGCTTGTCGGACGGAGAAGGGATGAGACGGGTGGGATGCATCATTTGTAAAGAGGGAGCACATGGAGGACCGCAGGAACCAGCAGACACCGTACCACGCAGCGCCGGCCTCCCTTCCAATCTTTGACGCTCGGAGCTCTCACATTATGCTGCGGATGCGTCATCATCCTACACGCCATACACTACAATACAGTGGTTCAGAAATACAGCTGGATTGTGTGCAGTTGCTCATGAGTATCTCTAGAGAGTCCGAAGGGTGTCATGTGAGGATATAGTTAGGGAGAGATAGGCAGCCTACAGTCTCGACCAAGACCGTCCGCGTGTCAGCGTAGACCCCGTGCGAGGGTTTGCGCCGAACCCAAGGCGGCATAACCAAAGTCTTGGACGATGAACACCCCACGCCGGGAGCGGATGAAGTCCTAGAGAGGACGGCCGAAAGTGCGTGATCACGTTCTGGAAACAAGTCAACCGAGGCTAGACACAGGAACACCCTTGCGAGATTTGACGGTGTCCGACGTCAAGACCAGAGGAACTGTCTCGTGAAGAGGGAAATAGTGCGACCTAAGGGATGGCGGGGGTTCTATGCAAAGATCAATGCTGTCCTATTGCCCAACAGGTTGTCATCAGCATTTATATACCGATACTCTGAAGGAAAGTAGAAACAGCAAGGCTCTCGACTCCACGGGCATCAATGTGCCAGTATGGTAGATGATCACGCAGCAATAATGTATCCACTCGAACAGAACACTCACCACAACCTTCAATCCATTGATCTCAAATCCTCCATTGAACCCCTCCGCGCTCGGAGGGATGACGATCGCGCCCGACCACACGATAGAGTTGGACCGCCTGCTCGCGCTGTGCACGATGCCCTGCCCAATCGCGTGTGAGCTGTGCATCGACGCCTTCTCCCTCTCTTTCTCCGAGCGCCGCGACCTGCCAGACCCGGAGGAGGCGTGCGACACGTCGCTCCTCGTGAACATGTCGCGCACAGCATCAAGAGGCCTCCCGCTGCCAGTGGAACCCAGCGCGTACGAAGGCGATTGCATCGTGAGGCCCAGGCCCGCGCTGCTGGCGTCGACGATCGTTGTTCGTTGTACCTTGATCTTGAGCGGACACCTGTGCGCAGCCTTGCGAGAAGACAGCTGGGTTTGCACCGACTCGAAGGGCGCGTTCAGGTTCGAACTGGATGGGGAGAGCGGGAGGAAGGACGACGGCATGGGCCGGTATTCCGCAAACGGCTCCAGCGTGCCCTCATCCGCGAACAGTGTTATGTGGAATGGAATCGGTTCCTGAGAGCAGCACACGGCCGAGCACGGCAAATACAGCTACATACGTGTTTTCATCAGTCACGCCGAACTGACAGTCAGGAGTAGCTGTGAGGAGAGCCGAATAGGAAAGCGACTCACATCGACCTTTATCCCAGGCACGTCCGCTTTCCTGCCGCGCAGCTTGAACGTCCACAGAGTGCGGGGGCATTGCGGCGTCTCCGTCCTCTGCGGATTGCGGGAAAATGGTGGTGAGAGTGTCGGTCTTGTCCGGTGCGAGTAGCGGAAGGGTACACGGACTCTACAAGCGTGAGGAAGAGCAGAGGAAGATGGGTCGGAGCCAACGTTGGCAGCACGATCAGCACCGCCCACGGTAGGGATTGGGATGCCGGAACAGACCCACTTGCTCACGCCGCGCCACAATGTCGACGGCTCCCGCAGTACGGTCAGATTAACGACCACGGCGTAAGCGATTTTGACCGTGAAGCCCGGAATGCCGTAGAGCTCAGCCGTATAGCTTGGTGGTAGGGGATAGTCTTTGCCCACGCTCGAATCGCGGTAGGTGCTTGGCAGAGTATATCGGAAGGAGGCTCGCGGAGGGAACGGCTCTGAATTTGAAGCCGACCAAGAGTATATCTTGTCGTTTATTGTCTTCACGCTGACGGTGCCACCTCCCGCTACCTCCTCGACGTAAGTTCTTCCTTCAATCTACTCGGGGCTGAGCGAAACGTCGATGGGACATGCTTGCATCTAGCGTACCTTAACATCGAGCGCGAGGACACCCTCCGGCCGCGCAATCGCCAGGATCCCCTCAATCGTGTCTCCATTTGAATAGTGAGGGATGGATGTCCCTTCACGCTGTCCACTTAGCAATAATGTGAGCTTGCTCGAATGCTTGACGTAGTGCCCGCTGGTGCTGCCCCTCTCGAGTCTAGGCAGATTCGGCGCGGATTCAGCATGTGGCGCTGCAGCCCGTGGCAAAGCAGGAACAGGGGGCCGCGAGTCATCGTCGATGAGCCATGCTTTGATCGAATGTGGCGGGATGTCTGCCTCCGGCGTGTTAGGTCTAGAGCGAATGGGAAGGAACGAGGATGGCCTAGGATATGAGATCGCGACGGCGAATGGATGACGCATTTTTTGAAGAATTGCGATGTCGGCTAGCACCCAGAGGGAAGAGGAGCGTCGTGGCGGGAGATGGTCAAGGATACCAGAAACGGCCGTTGAAGCGGGACGATATGTCAATGACTGTCAGCTGGTCGAGGTCAACTGCCAAAGGACGTTCCATGAGGCATACGCGGAGGGACATATAAGACCGCTGGTGGAGGATGGCACTAATCATTGATGATCCCCCAGCTTCGCCGAGAAATGATGAACAGTGAGAACGAACCCAGGGACGTAACCTGTACCATGCAGGGGTTCAAGGTAGAGCGGACCACCATCGCGAACGGCCGATAGAAGCTTGTTGCACAGCACCGAGAACTGCCTGAGCTATATTAACGCGGGGCAAAGGCGGAGCAATGCACCCTGCCGCCCCTGACAAGCCGCCGGATCGTTCAACGCACAGACGTAGACGGCAGAAGTGTTCCGACAGAGCAGGATTTGATCAAACCTACATGCTTTTGGAGATGACGCAGCCCACCGCAATGACAGGATGCGGGATGTACGTAGTCGGGCGCTGATGAGAAGAACGAAATTCCCACCTGGACCATACTTGCGTACGAAGAAACTCATCAGGTTGTTCACTTGTGCGAACAGGCTCTACTCACTAGAGCCTATGATACGCAGTGCACTTGACCATTGTACCACATCATGGAGCAAAACCACGACTGTCAGGTGGAGTCGGGCTGAAGCACAAGACGGATGCAAATGCGCCCAACGTGATATTACTGGTCGAACTCTCGTTAAATGATCTTCTTCGCTTTGAGTTCCGAGGTCTCTTCATCCCGATACCCCAACTCGGTAAGCACCTATATCGAGGTAATCAGCCAAGAGGCATGCCATGTGACGATTCTCAACCCACCTCTCTGGTGTGCTGCGATAGATATGGAGGAGGTCTCGTGATTGGCATCCGTCTGCCATTGTAAGTGACTGCTGGCGAGACCAGCTTGATCTTCCCCGCGCGAGGATGCTGCGCAGAAAATTGAGAAATTGACTGCGGGAGTGGATCGCAGTCAAGGTTTACCCACCTCCACCTCGGATACCATCTGGCGAGCAGCCACCTGTGGATGAGCGAAAGTTTGGTGAATGTTGTTGATAGGGCCGAACGGCACACTGCGCCACAAAGCTTCAGTGCCGTCTCAGGCGATGGCGCGGGAAGGGAACACACCCCAAACCAGTGAGCTTCTCTATCCAGTGGTCGCGCCCCTCCTTCTGCAATGTCTCCGTAATCAGTGCCACAAGCTCCTGCCTATTAGCTACTCGGGCTTTGTTGCTGCTGAATTTCGGGTCCGCCGGTAGATCAGGTCGTCCAAGAATGGCTTCAGCGAAAAGCTTGAACTGCAGAGTTCGATCAGCGGCAAAGTCCGAGAAGACGAAGCGAGAAGACGAAGCATGTACGGCATCCCGAGGCGTACCTGCTTGTCGTTCCCAGCACCTATCATAATGAACCCGTCCTTGCACGGGAAGACCTGGTACGGTACAATAGAGGGGTGTGCAGTGCCATGCCTTCCCCCTTCTTGGCCGGCGATGAGGTAGTTCGATGCGATGTTCGCCAGACCAGCAAGCTGCCAAATTCGTTCGCATCAAGGAGAGCATGAAATGTACTGTGGCAGGCACGACATACCTGTGACTCGAACAAATTGCAGTCGATCCATGCGCCCTGTCCCGTCTGAGCCCTGGAGAGTAGTCCGGCCATGATCGCCCCGTGTGCATACAAGCCAGTGGCAATGTCCGTCGCGGCTACGCCGACCTTGCATGGTGGACCGTCGGGTTCACCGGTACTGATCGCATAGAGTTCAAGCAAGCTGAAACAGGTCAAAGTGACAGGCACGTACATGTGCATGAGGCCTGCCTCAGCCTCAACTATCACGTCATACCCAGCAGCTTTGCGGTATGGCCCTGTCTGACCGTATCCTGAAACACGTAGCCCTCAGGATGACACGGGGTGCCTAGCCCAACTCAGGGTACATACCTGTAATACTAGCATATATGAGCCTTGGATTGATCTTCTTGCAGTCCTCCCAGCCGAGTCCGAACTCGGCCAGTTTCCCGGACACAAAGTTCTCCACAAGCACATCTGACCGCTGGACGAGCTTATGTACGATAGCCAGACCCTCCGGCTCCTTGAAGTTCACCGTGATGGATCGCTTGTTCCTATTGACGGCGAGGAAGTATGCCGACTCGGGGGGCAGGTGTGCCGCTTCCTCTGGCGCGAACTCGGATAAAGGGGCAGCGGGCGGGTACCAGGATCCTCAGAGGGCACGGTCGTCAGCTACGGGGCTGTGCGGAGGATTCAGTCATTCGACTCGGCGAGCTCACTCGTGTCGTCACCTCGAGAAACTTCCTCCACCTTCACGACGTCCGCACCCAGGTCGGCGAGAAGCATGGTGGCCGTGGGCCCCGCGAGTACCCTAGTGAGGTCCAGCACTTTGATGCCCTGAAGTGGTGGTGGGATGCCTTGCAGGGGCTGAGCATGGTCGACGTTCAGCAAACGAAGAGGGGCAAGGTAGCTTTTGCGCGGTAATTTCTCAAGGCGGGGAAACGGCGTCCGTCTGAGTAAGTTGGACGCCATGGTGGCCGTTGCGGAGACGAGTAAAACACGCTGCAGATCAACGAGCGAAGGACGGGTCGCCCGACGTCGCGAGCTTCTCGAGCCGGCAGCGGGCGCGACGAGTGCGGGGTTCATAGACGCCCGGGTGTTTTGGTGCCGAAAGCCCGAGGGACGTCTACATAATAACAACTCGGCCCGGGAGTGCTCAGGTTTCCGGTAGGCACGGGGCAAGCAGGCAACTCTCGAACAAATATCAGTGAGACACAAGTATCGTGATTCGTGTTATACTCATTACAATCGTAAGAGAGAGTCGTGAGGTTCGTAAGAGTAATTAGGCGGATACTAGGATTAGCATCACGGTCAAAGGGTATCGTCCTGAGTCTGATGAACTACAAGTTATAGGTATACTACGCGGTGGGATGGACTTGATGACAGATGTTCCTGAGGGGTACAGCGGGAGCGCCAGCGAAAGGGCATCGAATCCCGCTATTGCACATAGGTCTCCGTCCCTGCAGTCCAGACAGCACGGGGCTTATACTTGAGGTCTGCGTCTTCCATGCGCTCCTTGACGGTGATGTGGAACTTGGGGTTATCAGGCAGCGTTCTGCCCCGCCCGAGGTGTATCCTGGCAGTCCAAGGAAAGTGTCAGCGAGACGGCGACATGAAGTACTACCCGCAATACTAGACATACCACCACTTGGTCGATGTCTTCCCCGTGGCGTCGGTGATCGTGTACGGCAACGGAATAATTTCGAGCAGCCACCACGCGGGATCCGCTGTCAGCTGGTCGTGCAACGGTTGCAGAGCGTCGACGTCAACGCCAAGCGGGTCTCCTCCGTCTCCCTCAGAGGGGCCGCTTGGGGCTTGCTGCCCAGGATTCTCATCATTGCTCGGGTCTGGGTTCGATGGGTCGAGCTGTCCGGGCACGTTCACGTCCTCGACGGGATCCGTCTTCCGCTCTGTCAGAGGAATAGCGCCATCGCGCGGAGATGCGTGAAGGGTAGCGCCACGGGGAAGGACCATGCCCTCGCCTTGGAAGATGGACTGGGGGATATTGGCGCGCTTGAGGGCAGCCTGGTCAAACTGAACACCGCACTGGGCCAGAACAAGCTCGCGAACCATCCAGCGGAGAGTCACATCCGATAGGCTGAGCTTCGTCGAGTTGCTCACAGCACCTCCGCCGACGTCTAGTTGGTGGTTTGCGTAATCTGAGTGGACGATGTGGTTCCATACGAGACTAACTCACCGCTGTGGCATCCGGCGAACCAGACTTCGAGCACGTCGGTTCCTCCATTTGCACCGGAAGACGCGCTCGATGTGGACGCGCTCAGATCGGAAGGGCCGGATGTGTCAGTTATGGTCACTGCCGCCGCCTCGAGGTCGACGGTCTGTCGGACCTTAGGCAGGGATGCGCTCGTGAGGTTCTTGCGCTGTTTCGACGGCCATCGTCTAAGGAAGGATCCTAAAGAGCGCTGCCTCTTCATAGACGTGTTGGGGCGTTTTGACGTCTTCTCTTCGACGCGTGCAGAAGCACCAGTGTCATTGGGAGTACCCCAGTGATACAGATTGGGCTGGAACTTGACGCGATGCTAGGACGAGACGTCAGATACACGACATACGGCTGTACTCGGAGAAACCTTAATACTTCGTCCAAAGAGAGAGCCTGTCGGAAGGTCTTGATAGTCGTGTTCGCCGCGGTAAACGGGAGACTGCGGCTCATGATTACACCCACACTTGTCACCGTCTCCCTAGGGACCAGTAGAAGTGTCAGGAACCACCATCCTGGACGTGAAGCGCAGCATCCTCAAGCGCTTACCAAACGCCAACGAACTCGATCTGAACCTTTCTGCAGAACGTTTCCTTGAAGCCAGCAGCAAGAGCGACATTGTCCGCGTCGGTGCTCTTGTAGAGATTGTACGCGAAGGGAAGCTGCTCAGGATTGTCTTTGGGGAGCAGTCCGATCTATATCGGGTACGAGGTGTTTCATCTTGCATGAATCATAGGATGGATCTAGACGAGTACAGACGTACCTTATGCAGCATGCCTGCCAACGCCCGTGCGGTGTACGCACCCCGCGAGAAGCCTACACAAGGGTATGGAAAACGTGAGATTCCAGACGGTCTCCCCGCATTCTCAGCGCTCACCAAAAATGCAAATCTTATCGCCTGGGTTGTAGTTCTGCATGAGGAACGTGTAGCCCTCACGAACGTGCTCGTCGAGGTACCTGAGAATTGACGATTAGTACCATTATGTTCAGTCCGAGGAGGGAGTGCTGAGCATACGAACCATGCGAAGGCCTCATCTAGAATCTTTGCGCACCACTGGAAGATGGGAGACACTACACCAGGATTGAAATATGTCCCTATACCAGGCTATGAAGCTTGTGAGAAAGCATCTACACGGAGGCCACCGACACCGGAAGGGTCTCCAATGAGGTCGTATTCGCACCTGATAGTAGCATAGTTGCTGTCCGAGGTCGTCGTCCTTCTTGAGCAGGGAGTAAAGCCGGACAACATTGGTGTTCTGCGCCAACCAGAGGTACGTCAGCGTCCAGCCAAACCAGAACCAGATTGGCCGGCCCCATAGCGCCTTACTTCGCCGTCAAACTGGTTTGAAGTCCCATCAAAGCAAAGAATGAGTGTGCGGGGCTGACGTTGAACGCTACCCGGCGTATCGATGGGTGGGGGGGTCGAAGTAGACATCCTTAGAGGCCGCAAGAGAGCGACGAGAGGACGAGGTGACTTCGCAGCGACAAGGGGACTTCTATGAAGGCACCGTCCTGGGCAGTTCCCGCGTACCCACGGACAAGACGATTGGGCGGCAGCTGTCAATGTGAAGAGCAGAAGCACGTCTGTCTGCAGGGAACTCCGTACTGCAAGGATTTGAACAAGACCCTTGTGTTCCTTCCGAAAGGGAAAGGCCATGATGCAAGCATTTATCGGGGCACCGACACGTTCGCCACATGACTGGGCCGCTGAGTATGCATCGACACCGTGACACGCCGTATTCAGCGAAGTCGGGTGCGTCGCTTCCCAGAAGCAACCCAGATCATGTTCTCAAGCACTATTTTGGCAGAAGATCCGCAGCACGCACGATCTCAGGATCATCCAATGCTGTGAGGCGAGGTTGTTCTTTAATGGTAGAGGGTTGGCAGCCTCACGGTGAGAAGATCTAAACCAGTTACATACATAGCGTCGATCGTCATGTTGCATGAACGTTTGTGGCACCAGGTGATGCGTGTCCCACTGTCTGTCCATTGCTCCAATATGTCGATGAGCAATAACGCCTTGAGGGTATGTCGCCTTCTTAGCTCAGTGGTAGAGCGCGCCACTCGTACGATGTACGCCATGGTGAGGTCGGTTGTTCAATCCAGCCAGGAGGCATATAAAGTCAGGATTCTTGACCTGTTTTTTTTCCGTTTCTGGTTGCACTTTGGCCCTCATGCTGTCCCCCATCTGACAAACTCTTGACGATCACGAAGCGATCGTCACCCTACCCTACCTTCGGCATATGATCATCGTACAAGACAATACCTAAATGTACACTCCGAGCGTCACCGATGCAATTTCCACATACCGTCCTTGACCGTCACCAGACCCTCTCTCCGAGCCGCCTCCATGAACTCCGCCAGCTGCTCAATCGTGCGGTCGTACCCGCTCGCGAACTTGAGCATGCCTTGAATGCGCTGCAAGCTCAATGCACCCAGATTGGTGAGCATGCCCTCGATGAACTAATATGAGGTTACGCGGTCAATCGCTCAGCCTCTGTGATCAGACACGGACGGTCGATTACACGCACGTTCCAATACACCTTCATCTGCTCCGCTTGCTGCCGCTGGACTGTCAGGACAGCCGATACTTCTTCGATAACTACGGCTAATACCGATATTCTGAGGTGAGCTGCCCTGGAAGCGGGGACATGTATGCGTACCTGGCCTGGAAACCGTCTTCGTGCCTGCAGGCGCTTCCTCCGCAACCTCGAGAAGCTTATAGTGGTTCACGTCTTCCTCCTTCAATACTCCGAGGTCCACCCATGTCAGCAATGCTTTTATCGCTGCTGTCTTGTCCACTTTCATCTCCGCCGCCAGCTCAGCAACGTCCCATGTGTCTGTTTATATCGTGAGCTACCGGCGCATCGGGGCTGAGAATAAAATCCAATCCTGACCCTTCGAGGAGAACAACTCAATTATGGCAGCTTCCAAAGGAGGGACCTCGGCGTTGATCGTGCGGTCTTGTAGCTCAATCTCGAGCGAGATCGTGCCGAGGTGCGGTAACCAATGTAGCTTCTTATCCGGTTTGAAAATATGGAACTCTTTAGCATAGGCGTCCTGGATCCTGGTACAGATGTGTTAGTTAACCACACGACCTGGCACGGTAGGTGACCCAAGCGTACTCCTTGAACTGCCCTGGCATGTTGAAGCTGCTGGTTTGCAGTGGCGGCCAGAAGTGCCGAGACACAATGGTCGGGTGCAGAGGCATCTATGCGACCAAATAGGTGAGTGAACAAGTTCAGGAGGAAGGGCTATGAAGCATACCGGCTTCTGCTGCTGGACGTGTTGATCGATACGCCTCGAGTCCGTCATGTCACGCAGCATGACCTCGCACACTTGCAGCGCCGCCTCTCCGAAGCGAATCTTCAGGATCTCGATATTCCGCCGCTGTATGCCACCTATCAACACCCATCTCTCCAACTCGCTGATGGAGTCACGCACCTCGCGCTCGTAGTTGCCATCTGTCACGGCAAGCAGTCGCTGGGCGAGCAGTACCTGCAGCTCCTTGACGAAGAGATCCTTCGAGTCGTAGATGCTAACCAAAGTACTGATAACATCCGTTGGTCTGTTGGTACGGAAGTCTGACGTGTCCGTTAAGTGGTGAGCAAGCGGAAACTAGGACAATCAGTGCGTGAAAGGCATACTGGGACCTGCATCTATTGGCTCTGGCTCCCAATTGGCGTCAGCGAAGTCGTCCGCTTGCTTTTGTTGCAAAGGCTGTATAGGCTCATTCTCGTCCACCAGCGAGTCCCCGCTCTCGCCGTCTCCTACGAGACTCGCGACGATGCAGCGAATGGTGTCAGGGCGCTCTCTTAGGTACTTCCGTATGGGGTCTGCGACCTTGTATAACAAAACACCCGGGGGATCAATCAAACGCAAGCATCGGATGATGGAGACGTATTGCGTTAGAATGTCTTTCGTATCGGCACCTGGGTGCAGGAGGCGTTTCTTGTTCCTGCAAGAGGAACTTATCAAGACGTGCGACAAATCGCGCAACTCCTACACTCACGCCTTGCGCAGGGTCGTGACCAGTTCACTGCGTTGGTCGACCCGAGCGAGACATTCCTTCAGGTCTTGCAACGCCGGTTGGGAGTCTGGGTAATCAATGATGATGTCGAAGATCTCCTGCGTTCTGAGATCGCAGAGCGTCTTGCAAACGTGATAGTCGAACCTTGATCCGACACCTTGCAGCATCGAGCGAGCCTCCTCCGCTATAAGGATGGACGCAAGATCAGCAACGCAGAGTGGCCCAGAGCAGAGACGTACCATTTCTCGCTCCTCTCGCATATGGCATTACCATCCACGGTACTACCTTCTCCGCCATCCACTCCCTCAAACACACGAGCATGGAGTCATCCCACTTCTTCGCACATGTGTTCAGGACGTGCGCCTCGATGTATTCATAGCAAACGCTCGCTATGAGCGACTCGTAACGGTCCAGCAGGCCCAGCGTCTCACATGCGGTCCAGAGCGGGAGATCAGGGCGCGGCGGCGCTGCCGAGGTTGACGCTTGGGGTTCCGACGGTAGTGCCCACGGAGGCGGGCACGATGCGTTCACGAGGTCAAAAGTAGAGGCAATCAGGTCTTTGAAGCCGCGCGAGAAGGATGGCGGGAAGGATGAATAAATGTAAGTCTGGAATGCGAGCGTATATGCGGAGAGCAGTGTTGTGCCAAGCCTGCATCATATGGTTAGCGAGGTGGAGGCGAATGATGCCGAAGTGACTCACTCTGGAATTGGTGACCAAGCCTTATACCAGTCTACAAGCCGGAACAACAGCCTCCCGATAGCTTCAGCGGAACCTGCTGCCTGTACACGATCAACGGTGCTACTTTGCTCCAGGCCTGCGATACTCACCTCGTACTCCGTCATGTATTTCTGGATATCACGCTCAACAAGATATTGCTGCTGCCGCATATTCTCTATTCTCATTATAGACACAGTGAGGCATCACCACCTCAAACGATACTCACCAAGGAAGTTCTCCATGAGCAGTGGCAGCATCTTCGACTTGCTGAGAGTGTCAAAGGATGCCCGTACATCTTGGATGCCTGGGTGACTGGTGTCAGTCTTCACTTCCGCATGAGTCGTTCATTCACGCACTGTACTCTTTGTATGACGAAGGGTCGTTCAGGTCCTGAGGATACAGGAAGGCAGTCGCTGTCCTCCAAGCCTATGGTATTGATCAGAGTGGCTCCACGACTGAGAACGCATGGGTGGCGGACCTGGCTGAACGATAGCAGTCCCGAAATCCCAGGCTCGCCTCGGTTGAGGCGGTTGAAGGAATTGTTCCACTTGGCACTGATCTGACTGTAAAGCGCCTGGTTCGTCATTACATGAGAGTCGGATGGTGCAGCTCGAAGGAGGGGAGGTTGGGGGTGGGGAACAAGACGCGGAGAGCGCGTCGCGTCGCGCCTACGACGCGCTCGGAGCAGGCGCGCTGTCCTCTCGCCGCAACCACCACCATCTCTCGTCCAAGGGGGTCGAGATCACTCTCCCAAAGAGCAAGCTGTTATGTCCGCCTTTGTGTCGTCTTCCGAAGTCCCCGAACCGTTGACCTTGGTTTACAAACTCGTTCAAGACTGTCCTATCAAGGTCGATGTATACCCTCCGATTATCATCTCATCTCAGGTCTCTTCCGCGTCATCGTCCAACTTGCCCGCGGTGGTATACTTCCATGGAGGAGCACTAACCGTCGGAAATAGGACTAGCTGGTTCCCCAGTTGGCTGCACCGTGCGTATCCAGACTAGATCGTACATCGGGCCCTACGCCCGCAAGTCTCGCACTCACATACTGCGTGTGGACAACAGGCCGAGTAGTCTCCTCCGGTATCGTCTTCATCTCAGCAGACTACCGGCTCATACCCCCCGCTACTGGTCATGATATTCTCGCCGACATAAAGGGTCTGTTCGCTTTCCTCGAACATGACGTGAACGGCCATATTCGAGAGCATTGCCCTCGTGAACGCGTCTTCCAGGTTGATACAAACGCCCTCGCCGTTGCTGGAAGCAGCGCTGGCGCAATGTGCGCATATCTTGCCGCAATCCACGCGACCCCAAGGCCAAAGGCAGTTCTGTCTCTCTACGGAATGGGTGGGGATATGCTAGTACGTCTCCGCCCCAAGTCGATAAATTCATGACATCCTCATCTGTTCAGACATGGCAATATCTCACAGTCAAGACCGAGCCCTTCTTTCGAGGCCGGGAGATCCTCCATACTGCTGACTTCTCTGACTTCCTCTATCCTGCCTACCGAGATCTCCCTTCCACTTCAGACTCCGCTCTGGCTTATCACCCGACAACGCATCGTATACCTGGTTATCCTTCCAATCCTAGACAGCTATTAGGCCGTCTCTACCTGCAGCTAGGCGTCTTTCTAGACTACTTCACCGGAGCCCACGAGCCTAGCCTAAGCGACGCTCTGCGAAACCTGCTCTCTGCAGATGGACGCCTCGTCCGAGATGCTGACCCGAAGGGTGACGATGCCAAATATGCAAACTACATCCCTGCCGAACATCGCCACTTGTTCCCCCAGCTCAACATCAACTCTGACCTTCCGCCTATGTTTCTGATCCACGGATCCGCCGATACGGCAGTGTTCGTTAGGGAGTCGAAGGCTATGTACGCGCGGTTGGAGAATGCCGGCGTGCGCGCGGAGCTCAAGATTCTGGAGGGGAAGGAGCATAATTTCGACTACGAAGCAAGCGCGGAACAGGAGTTCGGTCAACCTGGAGGTTTGTTCGAGCAAGCGATGGACTTCTTGGTGGGCCGGTTGTGTAGGTACGGCGATCATCTCGCTCGAGCGAAGTCTCTTGATTGAACCCCCTCGGTTACGAACATAGGGACACGGCTAGAATAGAGAAGTAGATCTGTAAGTCGGTACACAGCAATACGATGCGAACGCTGGAGCAAGAACACGAGAGCAAGCCGGAGATCATCCTGACCCAATACAGTCCCATATGTACCCAACCCCCACTCGACCCAAGAAAACATGCAGTCACACTAAACCTCACGCTCGCACCTTCCCCTCGACGGGCATCACCGTCGCCCCAAGCATATACGAGCCCTCGTTCACGGGCGTCGACTCGCCCGAGTCTCCCACCACGTTCGTCGCCAGCAGGAGCTCCTCCGCGCTCAGCGTCCGCGCCGCGAACGTCACCGCCGCCTCCTCCATCAGCGGCACGATCTTCTCCGAGCTCTCGAGCGCTACCCGCAGCCGCTCCGTCAGGCTCTCCGCCGCATCCAGCCGCTCCTGCCACTCCGCCGCCGTCGGCGTGCTCGTCCCGTGCTGCCCGCTGCCGCCCAGCCGCCCGACCTCGACCTGCTCGTGCGGGGGCACGCCGTCCCCGAGCGACCGCTCCCGCTCGCGCGCCGCGTACCCCTTCTCGCCGTGCGCGAGCGCGACGGGGCTGAGGATGCCCGTCGACGGGCGCGCGGCGGGCAGCGCGGTCTTCGCCCACTCCCGCTCGAGCGCGTCCTCCCAGCCGAGCGCGCGGCAGAGCTCGCGGACGGTGGCGTCGCACTTGCCGAGGAGGAGGACGTCGTCCGCGCGCGTGCCGATGTCGCCCGCGAAGTCGAGGTTGATGAGCACGCGCGGGCACGCGTCGGGCGCCATCGAGGCGAGCCGCGCGAAGGGCTGGATGGTGAGCGACGTGCCGACGACGAAGAGCAGGTCGGCGCTGTTGATCTTCGCGATCGACTGCGAGAGCAGCTCGGGCAGCTGCGGCGCGTGCGTTAGCACTTTGGGAAAAAATCGTACTGTACGACGCTTCGCGCGGGGCGGGACGCCGTCAGTGGCCACACTCACCGACTCGCCGAAGAAGACGACGTCGGGCTTCACGAGCCCTGCGCAGGCGTCGTTGTCGCACCGGACGACGTCGCCCTTCTCCACGGCCTCGCGCATCTTCTCGGAGCCGTACTCTTTCTTGCAGTCGATGCAGTGCTGCGACGCGAAGCTGCCGTGGGCCTCCACGAGCCGGTCCACGGGGATGCCCGCCTGGCGCTCGAGCGTGTCGATGTTCTGCGTGAAGCACGTGTGGAGCAGGCCGCTGTCGGCGAGCAGCTTCACGAAGGTGTGCGTCAGCGTGGGCCGGAAGCGGCCGGGGTACAGCTCGCGGGTCAGGGAGAGGACTGGTTGCATGGCGTCGGGTTCCGTTGCATGAATGTGAGAGGCCGAAGACGGTAGACCGCCGCAATCAGAGGGGACGGGATTGTTAGACATCCGGTAATGGAGAACATTGTACGGAACTCCCGACGTACATGGTATGGGATTAAAGCGGAAGTAGCTGAGCTCGAAGAGCGCGCGAGGATATGGCAGATTGAGTTTTGCGAGGTTTGCCTGCGTGTGCGGGCATGATTTGGGTTGAGATAGCGGCACGAATGGCACGAAGATGAAACAGGTATTCGTACATAGAGTCCTGGGTTGAGTTTGTCAGTCCCACAACCCGTCAGACGAGCGAAACATCTGGCAGAGCTCACCCGTTCTTGGAGACCTGAAGTCGGGTATCCCGGCCGCCGTGCTCACGCCTAGCGTTGTGATGGCGTTAGTACGTTCATCGCTGCTAATACCGCACCCGCAATGCCTCACCCGCGCCGAGCTGCGAGATACGTCAGATGCAGTCAGAACCACGAAGCAGGAGACCGGCGAAGATTCGTACCATCACGAAGATCCGCTTGCACTGCGGGGACTTCATATATTTCGCGATAGAAGGTAGATCTCGACCTTCGAGGACCATGGTGGGCCCATCGTAGAGCATCAGCAGCTCATCATCGTCCATCTTCGTGCAAGCTGTCCCGTGGACGCGCTCTGACTGGGTGCGTGCTATCGTGCTGTCAAACTGCTGGCCACGAGTACACAACACGGCCGGCAGGCGGAAGCGTTCGCTGGGTTTCTAACGTACCGGGCGAATAAGTGAGGATGGCCGTAGGAGGTCGTGAGCTGTTATCAGGAACTCTCTGGCTGCGGCGAATAGCTTTTGGAAGCTCGCGCTTGAGCCTTTCGTCACCGTGCTCCCGAAGCGGAGTGCGGCGTACGCTGGGAAGGGGACGTAAACCTCCCTAAGTAGTGGGCGGCAGAGCCTAAGTGTCAGCTCCATATCGGGTTCCCCTCCGCTGTGCTCCCAGGCACCCAAGTTGGACGCACCACTGTCTAATGGCAAACGGCGCCGAGAGAAGGTCGGAAGGACGAGGGGGTGGAGACTGCGGTTGTCAGAGGTGCGTCGATTGGCAGAGACGTCTGCTGGCACACTCGCTCGGGAAGGAGCGAGCGAGTCCCTTCTGGCAATATGACATCTGTGAGGTTCTAGCCCGAGAGCGTGTCGGCCTGCTTGATCAAACGCACGGGGGAAATCCGATCTCTACTCACCGGCAATTAATGGATTCCCAGGTGACCGACCTGCAGCATGACGTCGTCATAGGACGACCAAGGCTTGTCGGGCCCAACCAACGAGGCCCAACGACCTATCAGGGCTGCTCATCGTGATTGCCCTCGTGGATTGCTCATGAGCGACGAATGGGAACGCGTTCGGTATCTTTTGTCGCAATCGGGACGCGCGGGAGTCAATCGGAGTCCGGACAGTCAAGCGCGGCGATTTGACGAATGGCGTTGAGCGAATCGTTCGTGCCTTCCGACGTTCACTTGTTCTCAATGCGACGACGTACAAAGGTTGTTCGACAGACTTATACGTGTACATGCAATCGCAATTGACCATCTTGAGCTTCGTTGAGTGGCGAATCCTGCTACGATGAGTGGAGCACTATACAGCAACAGATCGTGGACTTTGGTGAATCAATGTCCCACTGGTATCATCACTACAACTTCTCTTTCTCCTTTCCTGCTATGCTCGCCTCCGGACTTCTCGTATCTCCTACTGGCGGTCTCGAATCAGACTCAGATGAGTGTGCGGCCGCACCCTCTGAGGCTTCCTCAGAACCCGGACCCGACGTCGTCGATTGTGAGCCTGGGGTGATCGTCGCCGTCCTAGCCGCCTCAACTCCCGCATCCTCGGACAGCGCAAGTGCCTGAGCGACTTTCTCCGTCAACACGTCGACCTCCGCCTCGACCCGCGCCTCCTCTTCCTGCCCCTTGCTCACAGCAGGCGCCCCCTCCGCATAGGCTGCCTGTGACTGTGAGGCAGGAACGTCCGCAACAGTCGTCTCTACCCCCGCCTTCTCCTCATCCTTCTCCTTCGCTCCCTGCTCTCTATCGAGCGCCTCCAGCGGGACGAGAATCTCCGTCTTCGCCCACTCGCGCTCGAGCTCGTCCGCCCAGCCGAGCTCCTGCGCGATCTCACGGACGATGTCGTCGCAGCGCCCGAGGAGCACGACGTCGTCCGGCCGCCCCCCGATGTCCCCCGCGCGCTCCATGTTGATCAGCACGCGCGGACAGCCCGCGGGCACGAGGCCCGTGAGGGACGCGAACGGGTGCACCGTCAGCGACGTCCCGATCACGAACAGCAGGTCCGCCTCGCGCAGCTTCGGCACCGTGCGCTCGAACAGCGGCGGCAGCTGCGTGTGTGCCGCATGCATGGACGTCAGTACGCCGGGATCCTCGTAGAAGCTGCCCTGCCGCCCACTCACCGCCTCGCCGAAGAAGACGATGTCGGGCTTGACGAGCCCGCCGCACTCCCCGCACCGGACGATCTCGGCCCGCTCGATGGCCGCCTCCATCTGCGCGCCGTCGAAGGCCCGCTTGCACTCGATGCAGTGCTGGTCCGCGAACGAGCCGTGCGCCTCGACGATGCGGTGCGCGGGGACGCCGGCGCGCCGCTCGAGCGTGTCGATGTTCTGCGTGAAGCATGTGTCGAGGAGCGCGTGGTCCGCGAGGAGCTTCACGAAGGTGTGCGTCAGCGTGGGGCGGAAGCGGCCGGGGTAGAGCTCGCGGGCGAGGGTGTAGACTATAAGTATTAGGGGGCCGGATGTTAGACCGTTGAGCCGGAGAGTACGGACGGCCTGCTCACAGGGAAGAGGGTTCTCTGCGAAGTAGTTGATCGCGAAGACCGCTTCCGGGTATGGTAGGTTCAGTCTCTCTAGATTAGACTGCAGGGCCGCCAATGTGGCAATCAGTTGGTGCCGTCGGCTATCTTTTCCAATTCAGCGAAATCGCGAGACATACGTATAGACCTATGAGATGGTTCCGTCAGTATCTATTTAGTGAGAGGCTACGAGGGACATACCTGTACCAGGAGTACGAAAGTCGGGTATACCCGCTGCCGTACTAACACCTATGCCATTCGCCGACTCGGATCGTGAGAACCGGCCATTCTCTATACCGATAGCATGAGTACTCACCAGCACCGAGCTATGAGTCGCACACTCAGCACGATCGCCCTACAAGTCCAAGAGACGAAACATGACGCACCATGACGAACACCTTCCGGCATTCCTTCGATTTCATGTACTTGACGATAGAACGCACGTCCCTCCCTTCCAGGACCTCCGTCGGGCCCTCATACGGCGCGGACTGCTCGTTGCCCATCCTTCTCAGTCAGACGTGATCGTAGTCGCGGTCGAAGATACGGAAGTCTCACGCGACGGCCAATGCGGAACATAGACATCCTCCAGGTGGTCGTACCGCCGTGATACCTGGTTTCGGAGACTCCGCAGCGTGCTCTTGCCTTCCGGCGCTTCTCACCAGTGTTCTCACGCCTGACGTCACAGCATACTCAACGTCCCAGCTTAGAAGTGTTCCGAGGTAGTGACATCGATTTGGTGGCACCTCATCCCGATACACGAAACAGATACATGCCATCACGCCCGAGCCCGTGCCGCACGCTCCGCAGCCCAGTCATCCAGCCAAGCGGTCACGAAGACGACGATGTCCTCGTGGATCATCTGGATCTGAGCGGGCTCCTCGAGCAAGTTCCTCCGCCCGTTCTCGTCCCAGTGGTGCACGCCCCCGCGGATCAGCTTGAACGGGCGCAGGATGGTGTCCTCGCGGGCGCGCGCGTAGTCGCTGTGAGGCGTCACTGGCCGCCACGGGTCGACTGGGCAAGGGAAGCAGGAAAGAGTAAAGATAACGCTCATGGTGAAACGAGACGTCACGCGTACCTTCACCGTCGATGATCGCCAGGCGGTCGGCCGCGATGTCGAAGTCGCCCAGCGCATTCACGGCGGTGATGTTCGGGAGGGCGGGGACCGCGAAGTGCTTGCCCGGGAGGTATGCCTGCCTGCAGATCTTGGACTCGTACTCGAGCGTCAGCAGGCGGGAGACGATGCGCGGGTGGCCCTTGGGCGGTGCCGTCTACCGCGCCATCGTCAGCGAGGCTTGCGCAGCATCAGCGAGGACTCGTGCATACCGAGAAGTAGCCCCATTCGGTGCAGACTTGGAAGAGCCAGAGCCGCCAGATCTGGTCGAGATCGGTGTCGTGGTACTTCGAGTCGTCGTAGGTGCCGAAACACTATGCTCCGTGATCAGCACGTAAACGGGGAGGTGCTCAGGAAGGACACACCTCCTCGACGGCGCCTTCGGGGCAAAGCGAGACGTAGTTCTACATCCTGCGTGAGCGTTGCGAAGATAGATCCCGTAGGTCTCGACTGACTGACCTGCTTGATGTAACGCGCGTAGTTATAAACCGGCACAGGCACCATGAGGTCTTCTGCAATGGTGACCATATCCATACCCTCGTCGTACGAGACGAACTCCATGTCAGGGTCTTGGACGAACTTCCCGTCCAACGCTGCACAAAAGTCATCCCAGCCCGTCGTGCCTACTTCCGGGTCCCAGTTACGCCCCTGCCAGTGGCCGAGCGGGCTCTACAGTAAGGTAGCCGTCGTCAGCTCAACAGAACGCTCGAGGACACAAAGCAGCACAGACGGACCTCTAGAAGGGACATGAAGTCCTCGTTGTGCTCGAGGTCCGCGAGGCCAAAGAGCCCTTTGATGGGCCGGCCGGTGACGGGGTTCGCGAGGAGCGAATCGACGATCTCAACCGTGAGCTGAATGTTGCCCGAGCACTTGAGGTCCGCCGCCCGCCGGACGATCTCCATGTACTCCCAGTTCTCGATGCTCGCATGGGTGACGCCTATCACGATGGTGAGCTGTTTTGACCCGCACAACATACATTGGAGCTTCCCAAACGCACCACTTGAAGCAACAGCGCCCCACACCAGGTCGGGGTAGAGAACCTTCATGTGCGCGGCGCGAGCACCGGCATACGATCCCTACATCACAAGCGCAGTGAGCCTCTTGCACGAACCGCACAACAACACGCGTGCATACCCCGTAGTATATCCACGGATGGTTGGGCGCCGTCAAGTCCTCGTCGATGCCCGGGAACTTCACGTTCGCCATGAAGTTCGCGGAGTCAGCCGCGGACTGCGCATTGTTCAAAAAGCTGCACCCCGCGCTGCAATAAGCAACACATCCACCCGTCGAAGATTCACTGCGGGCGTACCGTAGAGAGTCCGTGGTCAGGTTCTTGACGGGCCGGGACTCGCCTGCTTTGCGGCTCAGCCTCCACTTGCACGCGAACTGGGGCTCAGATACGCACCATAGTACCTAGTGACCACAGACTGAGCATGCCTCCTCCGAACATCCCTCCGCAATACACACGCACCTATGCTCGAGCACGACCCCCACGCCCCCCGTCGCCCTCGCCAGAATATCCGCAATGCCCGTGTCCAAGAACCCCAGCCTGTCCTCCCCGCTCGTCTCCCCGCCATCAATCACGAACACAGGCGCGTCCGGGCCCGGGACGTAGTGCCGCGTGTTGACCCAGTACCGCTGCCGCCACGTCTCCGTCTCCGCCTGCGCGCCCTTCCCCTCCGCGAAGTGGTCGAGCGGCTGCTCGAACCAGCGCTCGGGGAACACTCCTCCCCACTTGCTCTCCGCCTGTGCGTTGGAGACAGGGTAGTCCTCCCGCCCGTCCTGGCCCTGGACGAGGAGCGGGTCCTGGGCCCGGGGCCGCACGCGGGCGGCGTGCTGGTTCTGGAGCCGCCAGAGGTTGACTGCCTGGGGGCCGAGGACGCGGATCTGGTCGGCGATGCCGGGGCCGCAGACGGCGAGTTGGGCGTAGAGCCCGAGGAGGACGAGTGCTGCGCGCCCTGTCATCATGGTTGTCGAGGGCGAAGTGGGAGCTCGACGTGCACACGATGGGTAGCCTGAGACTCGGGGTGTTATGTCGTTCACACATTGCGGACCGCACGGACGACGCGGCACGCGTCGATCACGTGTCCGTCTCGGCAGAGGTCGTTCATGATGCCCTCTCCGAGTCGTATGAATTCACTTATAGTATGGGCTCGCGTCGAAGGCCGTACAGACGCGAACGTGGACGGCGATGCAAGTGCAAAGGTAAATTACAATGTGGTATGATTCGGTAGAAGAAGACAAAGCTACAGGAATGAGGGAATCCACAATGAGAAGTGAAGAAGACCAGATGTGGGCAATCGTATGGGGCCGTGCGTGACTCGGTACAATGCTACATACTACCACTTATTACACGGATACACAGTCATCTCGTCGGCCCAGGGAACACAGTACACACAGAGGTATATGGATGGTCGGAGCGGTCGTAAATCGTGACGAACGAACGAGCGTCCAACGAAGCCACAGACAAATCGAAGTCCAAGTCGCGCAGTGGTCCCAAATAAGCAGCGCAAGCACCGACGACGAGGGGGTCGTCACTCCGACACCGGCTTCACGCAGACGCGCCGGTGCTCCTCCCAGTCCAGCCGCTGGTGCTCCGCCGAGCAGTACTTGACGAGCTTACACCGGCTGCACACGAGCCCCGCGCCCGCGCGCTCCCGCTCCTCGCTCGCCTCGCTGCCCGCCACGCTGCCCTCCCCCTCGGTGCTCCCGTCGGATGCGGACGCGGCGGTCCCGGCGCCCGCGTCGTCCGCGAAGCACGTCTCGCACTCGATCCAGTTGCACATCTCCTTCGCCCGCGCCCTGCGCCCGTACCGGTACCGGATCTTCTTCCGACGCCCGCGGCTCGCGAGCACCGCCGCGTGCTCGGGCCCCTGCTTGGGGAAGCGGATGAGCTCGCAGCAGTTGTCCGTGCAGCCGGGGTTTGGGCACCCAGAGGGGAAGTCGTGGTACATGTCCTTCGAAGGCACGAAGGACGGGTGGGCGAAGAGGATCTGGGAGTAGGACATGGTCTGGTGCGAGAAGAGGATGATGAACGGGGGGCGTTTCTCGTGCAGGATGGCGCGAAAGGTGAGGTCGATTTGGGGGAAGCAGGGCGTGCGGCGGTCGAGCGCGTTGTTGAGTAGTATGTCTGTGGATGGCGGAGGCGGTCAGCTCCGCAAGATTTTGCGCGCACGCAATAGAAAGATACTCACAGTCATGATTGATTTTGTGCTCCACGCTCGGTTTGCAGTATCCTCCCGCGGTGTTCTGGCAGACGTACTTGAAGTACTCGCTCACTTGGTCCATCTCCTTGCGCTTGAGATCGGTCACGATGACATAGATATCGTCGCAGCCGCGGTCGTGCATGCCGCGGAGGAGCATAAGTTCCGGGAGCTGTGGAACCATGAGCTCGCGTTCGCTCGCGCGCACGCGCGAATGGAGGGCGCTCACCATACTGAAAATGACCGGCATCATAGTGAGCCGCTTCATCGAGCGGTGGTGGTAGACGTGTGTGACCCACGTGCGGTCGAGGGGGATCAGCCGGCCGGTGTCGACCGTGCGGGTAAAGATGTTCTCGGGGACGAAGACGCCCTTGTTCCAGAGCAGGGCCTGGTCGCGGCGGGCGAGGTGGGCGTTGGCGTTGGCGTGGTGCTTGCGCTCGCGGACGCGGTGGAACCAGTCGTGGTAGGAGTCGGGGCGGTGGGGGCGCTCGAGCCATTTGTCGATGAGCATGTCCGTCGCGTCGTTGTCGAGCTTCTGGCACACGAGCTCGCTCATGGTGAGGCTGGGGGGGATGAACTTGGAGTAGTGTCGCCCGGGCATGGCGGGACGCGGGCGAGGAGGGAGCTGAGCGGAGGTGAGGGTAGGATGACCGAGGGAGCAGGAGGAGTGAAGCTGAAGCTGAAGATCGGCAGCGGGCGAGAGGTTGGCCTCGGTGAAAGCAGGCGGAAGCGACGGCGAGACTGATGCAGTGCAGGCGCCCGGCGCGGAGACTGACGCGAAACAGCCCGCCCTAAACAGCTGCTTTCTCTTGTGCGATTGGCGGCTGCGCTCTATATACAGCCCGCCTAATTGAATCGACGCTATAGCCCGTGCACGAGCAAATATTCTCGAAGCCACCGCCTTTGTCCACCACACGACTGCAAAGCACGCATTCTTTCCTCTCGATGCGTGCTGCGTATCTACATCCTACCCGCTGCTGCTGCTCGCACGCTTCCTCATCCGTAGTGCGCTCAAGTAGTGCGGGATCCAAGGGCGGGCGCAGCTTTGTTCGGCGTACTATCTGCATGTCGGCAAGCGATGCATAGGAGTCGGCAGGAGTCGGCAGGAGTCGGCAGGACACGAAGAGGACCATTCATGTCAAGAGGATACCTTCCGCAGCATGAGCTGCACTTCGAACATCGACGACCTTCATCCGCTACTTGAGGCCGCAAACCGAGCTATCGCGTCGTGAGCGCATGCACCAGGAGACTCCGATTAGTAGACAGCATATCGTACAAGTCGTAACCAAGAAATAAGGTAGACACTAGGAGATCCGCACCAGACAACCAACACCCATTCTAGAGTTCAAGCAACGTTCACGCTCCACGGCTCGAACCAGCCCGCGCGCGCCATCTCCTCCGCGAGCCCGTCCCAGCCGTTCCGTCTCGCCTTGCGGCCAGCGAGCTCCGTCGCGAACCTGCCCGCCAGCCGATCAGCCCCTGCGCCAAACGCACAGGCAAGCCACACACGAACGCACCTCAAGCACTCCTCCAGCCTCCACCGCCCCCTCTGGTCCCCCTCCGCCCCCGCAATCGCCGCGTCGCTCCCGCCCGCGCTGGGCGTGTACGGCTCCCCAGGCAACAGGCGCCGGCTCAGCGCCCACATCATCCCCGCTACGAACGCGTCCTGCGCCCCCACCTCGTCCACGGCCTCGCCCGTCTTCGCCGTTGGGGGGCTCGCCAGGCGCACGCCCCCGTGCCCGGCGATCTGCGTCCCATCAGAGTCCGTGCCAGAGTCCGAGTCTGAATCCGAGCGGTGGTCGCGACGTCCGGGGCGCTTGCCCTTCCCCTTGGGGGCGCGGCTGTTGTCGGCGTGGTTCCGTCGGGGGCGGGGGGTATCGTCGCTGCTCGGGCCGCCGTTTGGGGGACGGCGGGCGGGAGTGGAGCTCAGCAGGTCCGCCGTGAACATGCTCGACGACTCCGTCTCGTGCCCGCCCCCGGCCCAGAAGTCGCTCCCGGTCCTCACGGAGTGCATATCCGCCTCGTGCACCATCCGCGTCCGCGGGTCCTGTGTGGCAGGAAGCGGCGAAGGGAGCGGCGGGACGGCGGGCTCGACCCACCCGGAAGACTGGAAGTACTCCTTGGTGGGGACCGAGAGCACGGCGGCGCCGTCCGCACCCCAGTGCGCGACGAGGAGCGCGTGCGGGGGCGCGATGCCGGTGAGGGAGAGGAGGAACGCGCGCGGGGAGGCGGCGTACTGCGGCGAGTGCGCGCGGGCGTAGTGCCTGTTGAGGAAGACGACGTCGGCGTGCGGGATGAGCTGTAGCGACCGTCATGAACGTGAATGAATGCGGGAGCGACACGGGGCACGGCGAGGCAAGGAGGCGCGTACCGCTTCGACGCCCTGGCGCGCGCGCCGGCCGACGTCTACGCTGAAGACGCAGTGGCTGCGCCATTTGCGTTCGCGCGCGAGCCCGTCGAGGCCTGTGATGTTCTGGAGCGTCGTCTTGACCGAGCGGCCTTCGAAGTGTATCCAGTCTACGGGGGCGGGGCTGTTGATGGGCTGGCGCGCTGTCGCGGGGCCATTTGGATTCGACATGGAGGGACGGGGAGGCGCTGCCCCCGAAGGGGCTCCGGGTGTCTGGGGCGGCGTTGCGGTAGAAGGCGCATTGAGGTATGCAAAGTTTTCTGGGACTAGGAGAGGTCCAACGAGAGAGATGAACTCCTCGTGAGTGATGTCGGGCAGTGGGTTGTTGTTGATCACCGTTCTGCTGTCCGTATCATCTACATATGTAGCAACGGATCGGCGTGAGAGGCCGAGTGCTTCATCAGTGATACTACGCACCTGCATGCAACACCCATGCGCTCGGGACGCCCGCCTCTGGCCATACTTTGCAGTACCGGGTATTCACCCGTTCTCTCTCAAGCTCAGAAATGATCCTCCTGCCCTCCTCGTTGCCGCCGAGAGGGACGACCAGCGAGGCCTCCACGGCAGGAAACTGAGCGAGGATGGAGAGACATGTGCTTGCAGACCCGCCCCGAACTTTCGAAACGGAATGGGCGCGGACGACAGAGTTCCGCTCTGGATGCGTCGGCAAGCCGAGGTTATTGGTGAGGAAGAGCGTGCCAGACGCGACGACGCGGAGAGGACGCTGAGTAGCTAGGCCGGCAGATTCGAGGGTATCGCGACGGCCACGGGCCATGGGGTATGGAGTACCAGAGTCAAGTATGAGGGTATAAGCGTAGGATGCGCTGAAGACACGACTAGTACCGTTGTCGTCTTGGACGACGTCGAGCTCGACGGTTGACCCCTGGTGCCAAGGCGCGCCACCGGACCGTCGTGTACGTGGTGAGCGCCTGTGAGCACCTCCGTCTGACGACTCTGACCACATTAATAGCATCTTCGCTCCATGTTGGACGAGTTACACGGCAGGCAAAGCGCGATGGTTCGGGTGAGGAACTCTATGCTAACTATACGGGCGACGCAACGTGCCCATAAGATTTCCCAAATCACAAAGAGGGATACAAAGGCCCACTGGAAATGCTCGGGTCAGGTTGCGTTGCCCATAAATGCCGCACTAATTTCCCTGCTTGAAGCCTGGCGCTTTGCCCGCCGTGTTAGGACGATGTTCTGACGGGCCATGCTTTTACAAGCTCAAGGAGCTAGTCGACCGTATTGCCGTCACGATTCTTGCGTCCAGCGTCCACAAGAATTGAGCGGCCTTGTTTCTTAGGCTGCTCAACTTCATCATTGAATTGTCTGAGACACTGGAGGGGTCGCTCCTAGTAATACACTGGCGGTCAAAATAAGAGGTTTCAGTGAATGATTTCGAGACAAGCCCGAATGGTTTAGGACGAATAGGAGTCACACACTGCTTTGTCTAAGTGCGTGCTTGAATGCATTTCGCCTTATCAGCCCAACGGCCTTGCACTGACTGCAGGAGGGCAGCCGAGGATTGTGCAAGAGTAAATTAACCTCCTGGTGGCGCAGGTCTGCATCATCGACACTCGAATTTGAATGAGCTTCGCAGGCGCCGTTGATGATGTCATCGGTGTGGTGGTCAGCAGAACTCGGACTGCACGATGCCCAGTACTGCGCTCGGTCAACAATTTGTGATTGCACCTTTCCTTGCGTCTATCCCTGCTATCCACATTTATACTACTTCCCGATGTCTTTGCGATACCTCACCTCGAAACTTGCCCAGCAAGTGAATCCACCTAGTCTCAAGAAGCCTGATGTCGAGCTTACACGACGTTCGTATCCGATAGATCGACGAGGAGCTCATGGGCTCCGTCGGCCACTTCAGCATTGATCAGGTCGGTCTCGCGTACTATGCGTTGCGAGATTGTGTGTGCTGAGGCCAAGTGGCTCTTGACATGGGCATAGCTGATGGAGCTCGCTGGGTTGGCTTGCGCGCAGACTCTTGCGACGGTGTACAACAAGGAGAGGTACCCGCGCGTGCTCGTGTGCTGTGGTCCAGGAAACCAAGGAGGGGATGGGTTGGTTGCTGCGCGACATCTCGGTAAGTATCTCCGGGGGAGGAATTACAGGAGCTTTGACGGAGATGAATGGGCACAGGCCTATTCGGGTACAAGCCAACGATCTGGATGCCGAAGGTAGGTCGAAGCATGAGGTGCCTTAGTACACCAGACGATCTGACTTAGGCATGGGCAGCCGGGATCGAAGGATATCTACCAGGTGAGCCGCACCGCGGTCGAACGGTAACGCCTCATCCCGCGTACCCAACTCCCCTCCTACAGCGCCTCAAAGTCCAATGTGACAACATGCGCATCCCTGCTCTCGAGCCCTCACAGGACGTGCAGTCGCTCAAAGAAGCACTCTCGTCCTCGGACGTCATTCTCGACGCGATCTTCGGCTTCTCTTTCAAACCGCCCGCACGCCCGCCGTTCGACGCAGCGCTGCCCCTCCTGACGCAGTCTGGGCTGCCGATTGTGTCGGTGGACGTGCCGAGCGGGTGGAACGTTGACGAGGGCAAGATCGACGAGCACGCGCTGGAGCCGGACGTACTCGTGAGCTTGACAGCGCCGAAGGAGGGGGTGAGGAACTACAAGGGGAGGCACTTCCTTGGAGGGCGTTTCGTGCCAAAGTGCGTATATTATGGCGTTGTGCGCGTGCAGGGGAGAGCTGAGGCTGACGTCGCTCTCTAATGCTTTTGAGGATCCTGGAGGAGAAATACCAGCTCAACCTGCCTGAGTACCCTGGCATCTCGCAGATCGTCGAGCTGCCTAGAGCGGAAAAGTTGTGAATCTCAACGTAAATGCAAGACGTGTAACGATCAGAATAAAGTGTGAACCACTTTATAGTGTCGAATTGATGTACTTGAGTGGGAACGCTTTGGATTTCTGTACATCTAAATCTACCGTGGTCCCTAAAATACAAGTATCCTAGGGCATGTCTAGTAGATTTCGATTACCACCTTTACAGTGGCCAGAAAGCGTTTGGTGACACGGTCAGGTAAAATTACCCCGGCCAGGCCATTAAGTTGTAGATATTATCAATAAGTCACCGGTATACCCGACGGGGAAATGCCTTTACGCACAGAGTGTGGGACTCGAAGAGAGTTCAGTTCCTCTAAGGGGACGATCGAAGACCGTCTCCTTATCCCTGACCTCTCTTAATACCCACTAAAACTGTTTCAGTCAATGAAGATTGACTGGGGTCTAAGTCGCGTGAGGAGCATGTGCGCCCACAACGCGTTCTTGTCTCTTCTTTGTCGCGTAAAGCTTTTGTCGCGCACAACGCGTTTTTTGCAGCGCGATGCTTGGTCTTTGTTTCTCTATAGCTTATATGTACAGGTCTCTGACGTTTCTCTCTCCTTACCTCCTTCCTCACCGGCGTGCTCGAAAGGTACGATACGATTACCTAGTTCCCTCACCTCCTTCCTCACCGGCGTGCTCGAAAGTCCCCGACTTCGGGCTTCGCATTTTCTTACCCACCCATCCGCTATCCCTCTACGTTCATACCATACAACACGAGTAGTTGCTACATAGTCTAGTCCCAGTCAGTGTATTCGCCTCCGCCGGCTTGCGCTCGGCCCCTCCCGGTCGCGCGAGAGAGCGGTGGCGACGCGAGTTGGATGACTCGTCCGGCGCTGCGCCTTGACAATGTCATCCCCCTTTCGCCCTGCCCGACTCACGCGTGATTAGACCCGCCATTGCCGACCCATCCTTCGGGTAGATCCCTATAGTCTTCTATAGTCGGAGCCCATATCGATTCGACTTCGCCCTATTTAAGATCATGTTTACCTTTGGCTAGCACAGACGTCCTCCGGTCCAACGTTAGCCGCCGTTCGATCGTCGCATACCACGCGTTTCTCACGGCCGATTTGTCGTGGATTGCTCCGTCGCGTTGAATCACTCGTTCGCATCTGAGTTTCCAGATTAGGTGTACCGATTCTGACCACAGTATTGCCCACAGTGCCTCCATCGGTGGTCGCCTTGCACCTCCTTCGGTTTTGAAGACTGCACAGCCAGCTCCTAGAGCGGTCCCCCAGTCTGGGGCTTTCCATGGTAAGCCCGTCGTAGTCCACAATTTTTTCAGCTCTTCCCATATCTCGGCTTGTCCAGGGGCTTCGCATCGGAACAGGATGTGGTCCATTGATTCAATATTGTTGCACACCGCGCATATACCCCTATCCTGGTATTCCTCTGGCATGCCCTCTCTAAGCCAGTGCTTGCCTACCATGTACACGTCGTGTAGCGTTTTCCACAGGAATTGTGCGCACATCCCGGATATATGCTTTGATCTAATTGATTTCCAGATTTCAGCCTCAGTTTTGTCAACCCCGAACGCCTCCTGGAGGCCTTCCCTGACAAGTTCGAGGTTTACGACAGTCCTCGGTCGCGGGCGTGTCGACGCTTGTTTCCTCGTCCTTATTACATGGTATGCCAGCTTTTGTGTCATCGCGCTGAGAGACGCTCCCGATACAACCCATTTCGGGTCGACCGTCGTCGGGACCACATCTGCTACCATTTTCTTTGCGCCTTCCCTGGCTAGCTTTTTTGCATTTTGACTGCCTATGTGGCCGTCTTGACTCTTTACCAGTTTTATCGCGGTTCTCGCTTTGCGTTCTCTTATCTTGGCATAGATGGCCCTTATCAGGGCGTCATTCGATTGCCTCAGAAAGCCTTCCGCTTCTCGCTTTCCTTTATTTCTCGTCAGACTATCCACCACAAGCTTGGAGGTCGTAATCTCAACGATCTTTGATCTCGTATCTGCGGTGGATGTTGCTATCAGGGTTGCTACTAGTTCCCCGTTCTTTGCTTGTTGGCTCATGTCGTTTGACAGTCTCATTGACTTGTTTAGAGTGCTTGCATCCTCGACAAAAATCCCGACTCCCACCGCAGTTGAGTAGTCACTGTTTCTTTGTAGCATTCCGCCCGTCACCATTGTCGTCGTTTCCCCAGTTTCATCTAGACTGACATCTAATCTGTCTTCGCAGCAGACCCCTTCATCTGTACCGAAGACGCGAAGGACGTCTCCGAGGGAACCGTATGTTGTGATCTTCCTGTCTATTTCAATTACGTTTTCGTCCTCAGATTCATCGTCCGGGACGTTGTTTTCGTAGTCTTCCGGCAGGGTCCCTCTCGGGTCCCACCGAGCTGGCAGCGCGTCTAGCACTGTTGCCGCCCTTGTCATACACGATATTGGGTGTAAACAGCCCGTACTGTCGCGGCGACTAGGCGCGTAGACTCGGGTCGACGTTCGGCGACGACCCCGTAGGCGAGCGGCAAGGAGCCGAAAAGGGGAAAGAGAGAGGGAGAGGGATAAACGTGACAGAAAACTCGACGAGGGCAGAGCGGAGGTCGGCACGAAGGCACGAGACCTACGAAAGCTAGTCTTCACGCAGACAGCGACAGACTAGTCCCAATGACCAAGTTATACATTAGCACTCGAAGGGAAGTACAACGCTATGGTCACTCACCTAGTCCCAATGACCAAGAGGTCGAGATGGGGGACTAGGGGAGCGCCGTAAGGGGGG